ATCAAGGCCATCCAAGAGTTTCCAGCCCCAAAATCACAAAAACATCTCCGAGCTTTTCTGGGTGTGTGTGGTTACTATCGGCGGTTTAGCGATCGCTACAGTGACTGCATCGCCCCACTCACTCGCTTGCTTCGAAAGGGCGTTCGTTGGATTTGGTCCACCGTTGAACAAGAAGCTTTCGATCGAACCAAACAACTTTTCCTCGACACTGTCATGCTGAAGTTTCCCGACTTCGAGAAAACCTTCTATCTTCAAACTGATGGTTCCGGTGTAGCTCTGGGTGTTGAGTTATACCAACTCCTGGAGGATGGTGAACACGGTGTCATCGGCTTCGCAAGCAGGGTGTTGCGAGGTCCGGAATTGTTGTACACCGTCACCGAAAAGGAGCTTCTGGCGATCATCTTCGGATTGCAGAAGTATCGAACTATTCTTCTTGGGCATAGGTTAGTCATCCGCACTGATCATTATGCCCTCAAATTTCTGAAGCAGTGTAGGCTGTTGAACGACCGCCTCACTCGCTGGTCATTGCTTCTTAACGAGTTCGACTATGAAGTTGAGCACATTCCAGGAAAACAAAATGTTGTCGCCGATGCACTTTCGAGGTACCCCTACGAAAGTAGTGGCATCCCTGTTCGCTCCCACAACTCTCCGGTTGTCGCCACATTTTCTGTGAACGAAACCGAAATCATTTCAGCCCTCTTCACCACTTCTGGCATGGGAGATCTCACGAAACATTTCCACAACCTGAGGAATCTTCAACTTCAGGATGAGTTTCTGGGACCCCTCTTTCTTGCAAAACTCCAAGGGAAAAATCTGTGGGGGAAGAATCGCCTCTATCGCCTGTTGAGAGTCCATGAGAACACTCTCATCTTTTTCCACCCGTCCGACGGCTGCCCCAAGCTACCACTTCCAGAAGTCTTAATCGACGATGTGATCCAAACTTTCCACGAGCAATATGGACATTTTGGCATTTCCAAGGTTCTCTCACTCATCCGTCGCTATTTCTTTTTCCCGAAAATGCGAGCTCGAATTGAGAGGGTTGTTAAATCTTGTGACCTCTGCCAAAGATCCAAATTTCCGAATAGGGCACTTTCCGGGGAAATGCACTCTGTGATTGCCGAGAAACCTGGCGACCTTGTCACCGTCGACTATTACGGACCCCTTCCGCAAAGTCGTTCTAGGGTCGCCTACATTTTCGTGGTCATTGATGCTTTCTCCAAATTTGTCAAGCTCTACCCGCTCCGCCGTGCTCAGGCAAAAATTTCTGCCAAAAAAATCGTCGATGATTTCCATCGAACACTCCCTGTCAGAGTTGTCCTTAGTGATCACGGTACCCAGTTCCAGTCCAAACACTGGCAAGAAACCCTCAAAGAGTGGGGTATACAACCCACTCTCTCCTCCATCCGCCATCCACAGTCTAATCCCACAGAGCGTGTCATGAAAGAACTCAGCCGTCTGTTCCGTGCCTATTGCCATGACTCTCATGCAAACTGGTACTCAATCCTTCCAAATATTGAGCTGCTTTTCAACGTGACACCTCATCTCAGTACTGGCTTCTCGCCATATGAGATCATTTCCGGCAAAAATCCCCCAAACCCCTTGACAAATCTCATCGAGCCTCTTCTTCCAGCCGTCGCAGCAAAACCTCTGCAACAGATTCACAGCGAGGCACTTTCAAACCTCCGTCGTGCCGCAAACCAACGGAAGAATTCCAGGAAAACTCGCTGCGACGTATTCCAAGTAGGCGACTTTGTCCTGTTAAGGGAAAATCCTATCTCAGATGCTGCCAACAAGATTTACGCCAAATTTTCCCTCCTGTATTCTGGCCCGTACCTTGTCACGGACAAACCCCATCCAAACGTCTACACCCTCAAGGATCCCGTCTCGAACTCCATCAGAGGCAACCATAACATCGCCAATTTAAAACTGTATTCATTTCGCCATTGATACTGCGTTTGCTCTGTTCACAGGTACACTTGGAATCGGGGGGACGTGTCCAGAAGAAAGAAGATAAAAATTCGATTGGCCTTCCTTTAGGTTAGCGTTTCCAGTCGCTACGCGTAGCTTCGCTCCGAAAACGCTGGGGGACGACCATAGAATACCCTCACTAGGGTTTTCTATGGGGACGACTGTAAGGATCCAATTCGAATTTTTAAATTTCAAATGGATTTCGCGCGCGCAAGAAACAGTTGGTGAGAAGAAGAAAAGAAGGTTGGCAACCAACCCCAAAGAAACAGACATGCGCAAATGTTAGGGTGTTTTTGTCTCGTGTAAGATCACCCACTTCCTTTTCATCGCTTCGAGAGAACGGTCGACTTTCTTTCGAGCGCTTCGAGCAACAGGTTGTATTTTTAATTGTGAATTATTCTGTGCTTTTTGCTGTTGTGTTTTGTTTTTCCAGTGTTGATCTGTCCCATTGGAAAACCTAGCAGCCCGTTGAGCCATTGGGTGTTCCTGATTTCTCACCGTTCTTACGACGAGGTTTTTGTGTTCCTGTTGGCGGTAAGCCGTGTCGAAATATTCGCATCTTTGGAGAGGTATGTTTTGAACACCTGTTTCGCCGCGAGTTTCAAGTCCCGACGATACTTGTGACCTCGTGACGCAGCGACGCGTGCGCTTGTTTTTTCCACTAATCTCGTTTTTTTTATCTTTCATTTAAAATCCATCGCAGTAGGGCTTTACAGGAAGTGATTTCTAGTTCGGGCCATGCTTTATTTAGCTATATTTGTGAAATCTGTATTTTGGATGGCGGCAAACGAGTTGTTATTTCACCGTTCTTTGTTCAGGCAGCAGCCATTTTGAAGCGTCCATTTTGTTTCTTTTAATCGAGCACATGTTTTAACTGAATCTATTGAACAAATTAACAACATTGTGGGTCATGGGGGGACGTGCCTTTATTCTTTGGATTTAGCACATCGTTTATACAACGCCACAGGATTCATCGTATTTTGCATCGCATATTTTCGACGCCTATTATTTGGAATGACGAATTCGTCCAACGCCATTTTGCAACTGCAGATTGTCTGCCATGTTTGTTTATGTGTTTTGTTTGGGGAAATGTATGTGTAATAATGGCCCACAATGCAGCTAAATAATTTCACGTTTGAATTTTAACCAATAACTTGACTGGACACGAATTAATATTAATCACATGTAAATCTGTTAACTTTACAATCTTCATCTCATGCAATTTGTCTTTGTCTCACAATTTTAGCTTCAGTAATTTCCTTTGCTGTATAATTTTAATTGAACGTAAATTTCCATGTTCTACAGTTTTGACCTAACATAATATTTTATTTGCACAAGCTTATTTCACACCAGATCTTTATTTTATAAATCTTTGCTAAGTTTTGCTCATGTAAATATTTTGTTGATGAATATTGCTATCATGTAAATTATCTGATGTCCAAATTTAATCCCAAGTAAGAATTATTTGTTGACTGAATTTCCGTAAGAGTGTATGGCGAATTTAAATGTTGTTTATTGCTCTTGGTTGAAACTTTAACACTTGTTCGGTTGTAATTTAATATTAGAGTCATAGAGATTGAACATTTAAATGAAATTGAAGTAAATAACACATAACTCGTAGTGTACGTGGGGCGCGCGACTCCTTCTCAAACTGACGGGATCAATCGCGGCACCTGCACAAATCCGCGGGTTTGTATAGCTTCAGGGGGCGATCGCGGGTCTTTAACGCTGTCGACTTGGCCCAATAGTCGAGACCCCACTACGGATCTGCGATCGTAACCGCCTCGTTTCGCAGGGCACGTTCGTAATGGAGAGATGCGTGTGAGCAGGCGTTGGTGTAGATAGAATCACCGTCGTGAGGGAGAACAGTGATGATCAGGAGTCCCAACCTCCACTTGCGCTACAACGCCCCCTCTGGGTATTTTGCTGTGCTCGTAAATGAAATTGATATATTTTGTTCTATGTTTGTTCGATCGCCACACTCTCATAATGATTCGGCTTCTGCCATCCAATTTACATATGTGTAGGTCTTGTATTTGTTCGGTTTTCATATGTGTATGTCTGTCAATTCGCGAGTGTTTTTCTTTCACATATCTTAGGGTGTTTGACATGTAATATGTCGGTGAATAAAACCCCAGGGGGTTTTGGGGAATGAAGACCGATGACACCTTGGCCCTGCGGACTCGCCAGAAGGGCAAACCGAGCGTCTGTCGTTCTTCGTTTCTTTTTCCTCCTTAGGAAGGCTCCTAATTTTGTCTATTATTGCTTGCGCTCTCGACAGTGTATGCACTTGTATGAAAGAACTTCTTCCCGCCATTTTTCAAAACCAAAAAAAAAAAAAAAAACACACAACGTAGGTTCTCATTTGTTAGACGATCACAGCCAAGGCCAAACTTTGAATTTTTAAATTTTTCGCGGGCCTTTCAAACTGTTTCAAGGTCAAATTTTAAGGCGGGAAGTTTGGGTTATCACACCACCAAGCCGCATTTCTGACATCACGGGGATTTTCCCTGGTGATTCAATTAAAAGCGCTCACAAGTAATAGCTTAGAAAACATATTTTTATAAACTGATTTTCTAATGACAGTACAATTATTATCATTATTATTATTATTATTTAATATAATTAAAAATTAACATCCCTGTTATTCTACGTGACATATCACACTTCCTCAAACTTTCTACAAATGGTCTATACGTGACTTCAGTCATTACGTGCAATGCCCTCGACCATATTCCATCGACTTTCATGTCTTTTTTTTGTGCTATGTAAGGTCTGGTGACATTCACTCTTTTGCATCACTATGGAAATTCTGGCGCAAGTTCAAAAAACAAGAAAATCCCTAGGGTCGTCTAGACGGAACGAAACTCCCCACTACCATGACCCAATTTGAAAAATATTTCAAATCGACTCCAGCCTCTTATTGCTACCATCCTTGACCCGGAGTTTAGGAGCATTTATGACGATATTCGCGGAATAATTGATGCAACATGTACTTTGTCACGGTTCCACGAGACAGCGATAATAAATGACGTCATGACTTTCGTTGAGTAAAAATCCTTGCCCGCCCTTGGAATCACCAGTCAAAGTGCAATCGTGGTAAATCGTGCACGAATTGGTAATTTGGAAGTATTTTGTGTTCTTTAAGTTCCTTTATATTTGGTTAACATGTCATTAAGTGAGTGTCCCATCGTTGTTTTATTTTGTATTGTTCTATGGTTTTGACTTATAACCTCAATCACTACATGATGTAATAATTCGCGTGTTATATATAATTGCGGAATTTTCCGCACACAGTTTCATCGTTTTTAAAATTCGTTTCAGTTATGATTGTGTAATAATAGCTACCATTATTGTTGCAGCTACAATGGGTGATAGGAAATTTAGTTTCGAAGAAGAATCTCAGTCGCAAAGGTTAGCGAGGAAATCCAAGGAAACCCCGTTTTTCCCCGTAGGTGAGTAATCACTAATTAGTGTGCTAGCGAACAAAGTTAATGAAAAGTACAGCACGCATCAACATTGATGACACTGACATTTAATATTTTGCAGCTATTGGCGTGTGTGCAATGGCAGTAGGCTATGGGGCGTATATGTTCAAAAATAGAGGGAAAATGAGTCCTAGTGTTTATCTAATGCATCTCCGTGTGGGGGCCCAAGGGGCAGCTGTTGCATCTCTAACTGTAGGTTTAATATATACCATGATAAATGAACATATATTAAAAAAGAAATGAGCCACTAGTATTAAGTTTAGTGCGAGATTAGATTAAAACGTGATCTAATTTATTGAATCTTATCTGATATTTAGTCTTAGTTTCGTTAAATTAATGGTGATCGTTTTTTTTTGTTATATATTTATTTTTATAACAAAAGATACGTAGTAACGTAATTGGATAAAACTTATTTTTATAAATTAATTTATGTGTACATAATTATTAAATAATAATTAAATTATTACACTTTATTTAAAATGTAAGTTGTTCAATGAATGTAGATAATGTTTGTCCATTTTTGTTAATAAAAATTGAATTCAAAATGAACATTTATTGGTCACCTACTTTCCAGACATACAAAAACCATTCATTGAATGCAGTGAAGCCTTTGATACGATCTTCTTATTTTTCTCTAGCAGTATCAGATTTACGTCCAGACAAATACCGGACCAATAACTCCTTAATGTCCCCTAATAACTCTTCAATATAACCCAATTCAAACAATTTTTTGAACATTTCAAATCTATCCTGATCTAGAATATAGCCAACCAAAGCAAACGTTACGCACTCCGTCCTCAACAAATTCGTCCTCGATTTCATGGACCAGTTATAAATTGTGGGGATAGTATCACATCTTAGTCTAAACTTCCACACGTGATTCGTCAAGTACATAATACAATCTTCCAGTAAAAACCTATCGCACAGAGCAATCACATCAAGGTGTGTATGCAAGTCCAAGTCACTATAAACATCCTTATCTATGTCACAGTTCATAAATTGCAGCAAGTATACTAGCGCTTTCTTCGCTACATTAGGTAAGGTTATCACGTCTTGACAAGACTCTTTGAAGTCGCCATCCAAAAGTCGCGCGAAAAAGTCCGACTTTTTGCTGAGCAGATCTCGGTCTGCGCTCACCAAACTACCGTCGTCTAATTTGAATGTGACGACAGTCGAAGGCAAGGGAGGTTCGTCGGCGTTTTTATTTGGTATGTACAGATGTTGGGGGTTTGGAATGCAAAGTCTTTTCGATGCAAGGACGCACAATGCTTGGATGCACTTGTTCTGTAGGGGCGAGTCGTCTTTGAGGAGTTGCATGAGGATTTCAAGACCACCGGAATCGAGCATGAGTTCCAACAGAATACATCTGTCCCTGTGGGAAACGGATTTTAAAATGAAAAATAAATAATAATAAAAAAAATAATTTCTTACCTTATTATATAGGGTATGACTAGTGCCAACTGTTGTTTTGTTTCAATGTCTCCACGTAATAACTTGTGAGCTATGTCGCCTTTTCCACCATCTGATTCAGCTCGTTCGGATATTTTGTTTATGACGATTTTACTGATTTCTTGGAACCCGCGACATTTTGAACACCAAGGGTTAACTGGATCTCCGGTATAATCGCAGACGTAGGGAATGAAGTCGGTTTTCATTAAAGGTAATAAATAATCGTCGGATCTACGACGGTGTTGTATAATTAATTACTCACTAATCTATGCATGCTTACTCAAATATTTTACAGACGATTTGACCAATTTCTACACGTGATTCCCTCTGTGCCCAGTCAAAGTATCCTGAACTTCTGATAAGTCCCAGTAAAAGATCTGGCGCTTCGAACTGTGTTATGGGAGGATTTATTCTGACATAAGTTTTGAGTAGATCAAGTATTTTTTTTAGAAATATTTTTTTGATCTGTCTTCTAGAATAGGAATCCACATTAAAACCTGCAAAATGAAAATTTAGTTTCATGTTTGTGTGTGCAAACGTAAAAATTACTTTGTGAGTCATCTGAATCTTTTGGTTCTGGTTCTACGAGCGGCAAGCAAACGTCATTATCGTCAAATTCGCTACACACAGGAAAGTAGTCACCAGATCCTGAAGTTTCTGAACCACCAGCAAACTGAGGTTGGGGACTAGGTAGTGGAGATAATGCAGACGTCCATGACAATACTGAATTGTTGCTTGACCCTGGACTATAATTATATCTTAGATTGCTTAATTGAACAAATTCTTCGTCACTGCTTGAGGAAGACTCACAATCATCAGAGAGTTTAAGCTTTTTGTTCCCTTTAAATCTGGCAACAAAATGAGTTTTTTTTGTGTTACAATTATGAATAAAGTTCAGTGGTTGAACGGCCCCAACTATTAACTTTATTTTTTCGGTTAATACTGTCACAGCGTTACTATTAATCTGAGCAGTAATTAAATTATTCCTATTTGTGCACTTGTTCAGTGTTGACAGAATCAACAAACAACACTCAATCTGTAAAAGAAAATAATAAATCGATTCATAGCCCACTACTTTCTGTTATAATAAACCTACTTTTCTATTGTTTTCAAAAGTTAGACCCTTTAATACAGTCATCAAGACTGGGATACTCTCCACAAACTTTTCATTTTCTCTATTTTCTGGATAGTCAAGTAAATAGCAAAGACCTCTAATACAATCTTCACACGTCGAGTTAAATTCTGAAAAACGGAAGTATAAATTTAAAACAAGAATATTGTTTTCTATACCTTGAATGATGGATTCATCGCGCAGTACTTTCACAATACTATCGAAAATTTCAAGGAGCGGCAAGTCGGCTTCGGACTGGCTGATCCTTAAAACATTCATCACTATTTTGGCTACTTGTAGTGGGGCCACAAAGAGAATTTTGCTGAGATAGACAATGGAGTCTCCCTTGCCGGTGTTTCTCATCTAACAATTTGTGCAACAATTATTTACAAAACAGAGTGTCAATAAATGACTATATCCAGTAAAACACGGTGTTATTTTGACAATTCGATTATAATTCGTGTCTTGACTAAACTAGAAAAGTCAACGTATAACGTATAAATCATTTATAAACATTCTGTATTCAGTTTACATGATGTAAAAATTACGAGTGTGTGGCGGCACAATAACACGTTGGTAAGCGGAGAAAGATAAGCGGCCTCGTGGTCTAGTGGTACGGGCCCGGCAAGCGGGTGACGTGTGGTTCGATTCCCACCGAGGCAGCAACATTTTTCTTCGATTACGCTCAAGTGTATTATGTCTACAGTGAAAGTGTATAATTGCACTGTTGTGGTAACGGAATAGTAAAAACGAAAGAACAGTTGGAAAGATAAATAAGTTAAATAAATGCTTACATCTAAAATTGATGGATAATATGTGTACCGCGAAAATTCATGCAACCCCTTAATGATGTTCAGAACAACTCCATCGCCTTGTTCAGTAGCTTGCCAAATAGTACCATATTTAATAAGTAACGTCCCCAAAGTTCTGGGGACCCCATATGTCACAACCAACGTTTCAAGGGTTTCTCGACACAATAATTCCCTTAGAGACCTTACTCCCATTGTGACTGTGGCCTCTGATACTTCCCCGTTCTCTTCTTCCACCAAACCATTCAAAAACTTTACAATATGTATTACAATCTCTGGTTCCTTATCAATAATATTGTTAGTCCATTGATACTTGTGTTGACACAAGTTGCCTACAATTTTAAACACGCGTCCGTTTATGCTGTCTTCCTTGGGGTACCGTATCAAAAGTTGGTTGAGATTTGATAAAATGCCATATCGCGTCACCTACAGAGATTTATTACTAACAAACATGACTTAAGTCTATGACGACACAGAACATACCATCTCTCTAGCACAGTTAACGTCCAAACAACAGTGACCAAGAATGCTCAAAGATAGCTTAATTATTCTTTCTTTAGACGTCTGAAGCGACGAAATAATTTGTTTGAAACTACCGCTTTCGCGGATTTTGGTAATGTTGTCATTGCTGTTGGCACAGTCGACATCCACTCTTTCTTTTACTTCAATGAGAAGCTGAAGTAGTTTTGTACTATTTTGAACACCTTGGAGAGACATCAATACGTCGTCGAAACTACTACTGGACATTATTGTATCGATTGTAACATTTCTTACACTTTTATTTGTTTTTTTTTTTGTTGACTTATAATAAAATTTTACAAAACACGAACACACACAAACCACAACATGACACTGAAAACAGCTGAAGCTGTAAACTGAAGACACTACTGAAGTGACAGCACTGACAGCAGTGTTGCCAGAATGAAATTTCGCTATTCGTCGCCGGAAAATTCCACAACACGCTGCCTACGTGCTGCCTACGCCCACTTTTATTTCGACGCGGGGGGGGGGGGGGGGGGTAATAAATAAAATTTAAAATTTAGTACAAAAAAATGTCTACTTTATTTATGACACGAAAGGAGGAAATACAAAAAATATAAAATGTATATAAACACAATAACGAAACAACAAAAAAAAAAACAACGAAACATGTAATTCATAGGTATGTAACTATATTCATAAACATAATTGAATAATATACCAAAACTTAATATCTATACTAACATTATTAGAGTATTGTAATAAATTGAGCTTGAAAAAGTTTGAAAGGCCCGCGAAAAATTAAAAAATTTGGCCTTGGCTGTGATCGTCTAACAAATGGGAACCTACGTTGTGTGTGGTTTTTTTTTTTTAAAGTGGCGGAAAGACGTTCTTTCATACAAGTATGTGCATACACTGCGTGTGATTCGAGAGCCCAAGAAATAATAGACAAAATTGTTTTGGAGGGGGGGCACGGCTGCGAAGATTTACTCCTCAGCGCAAAAACTCCCTTGTTATTATTCACGGACGTATTACATTTCAAACATCTTAAGATATATGAAAAAAGGACACTCGTGAATTGACAAACATACACATATGAAAAACGAACAAACGCAAAATTCTATACATCTGTTTGGAGTCAATGTAAATATTTGAATATCACAAATTTACTAAAACAAAGCAAAAACTGAATCAAGTAACTGGATGCAAATACATAAGTTGTTACGGGCGTGTGGCGGCAGATTTTAAGGTCACGGCGGTTAACAGGAGCATAACAAACGTACCCGTGGACGTTGTAGCATAAGCGGAGTTTGGGGCTACCGGTCTGGGGCTGTTCTCCCCCCACGACGGTGATTCTATCTATCACATCATTGGTCCAAGTCGAGAGCACTACAATATCGGCGGCCGCCCCTAAATCTATCCAAACCTGTGGACTTGTACAGGGGACACGATAAATCTCGCCAGCCCGACTAGGAACCGAACTTCGCTTCTGCCACGTTTTCTGTGTCATTTAACCTCAATTCCGTTTTTAAATATTCAGTCTCTTATAACTCTGACGTTAACAACAACTGAACAAGTGTTAAAGTTTCAAAGAGCAATAAACAACATTTAAATTCGCCATACAATCTTGTGAAATTTTAAACAACAAATAAATCTTACGTGAGATAAAAATTGGACATCAAACAATTTATGGTAGAAACATCCATCAACAAACTATTTACAAAACAAACTTAGCAAGGATTTATGAAACAAAAGATCTGGTGTGAAATAAACTTGTGCAAATAGAAACATTATGTGAGGTTATTATATTTTGTTCATGTTGTGAAAAAAAGTCTACATATAATAAAACAAAAAGGCAAAACGTAAGCCCGCCCACCCGCCCTATCTCAATTTTGATGATTTTTTTATTCGCCGTGAACCAAGGGGGATGAGTTTAACTACAAAATACTTATTTCTTTACAAGAAATTAAAAACATCTTTTTGAGTATCATGTTGTCCAAAGAATATTAAGTATATTAAGAAAAAAAGGCAAAATATAAACCCCACCCACCCACCCGATCTCAATTGTGATGATTTCTTTTAATCTTAGAAACTGAAAACATTTAAAATGGTCCATTTTTGCAAGGAAATATGGATTTTGCAATTATGGGCCGGAGCCTATTTGCAAAATCGTTATTTCCTTATACAAATTATATATGTTAAATATATTTTAAGTTTCATGTTATGAAAAGAAGTGTACACATATTAAAACAAAAAGACAAAATGTAGGCCCGCCCACCCGCCCTGTCTCAATTGTGATGATTTTTCTTATTCGCCGTGAACCAAGGGGGCGGAGCTTAACTGCAAAATATTGATTTCTTTACAAGAAATTAAAAACATGTTTTTGAGTATCGTGTTGTTCAAAGAATCCTATGTGCATTAGGAAAAAAAGGCAAAATATAAACTCCACTCACCCACCCGATCTCAATTGTGATGATTTTTTTATTCTTAGAAACTCAAAATACATTTAAAATGGTAAATTTTTGAAAGGAAATATGGATTTTGCAATTAAGCTCCGCCCCTAGGTCTGCCAACGAATTAAAACTTCATTACTATTTAGATCAGGGCAGGTAAGATAGTCAAAAACGTGTCTTACTTGGAAATTTCTTGTAGAGAAATAATGACGATTTTGCAATTAAATTCCGCCCCTTTGGCTCTCGACGATTAAAAAAAAATCATCACAATTGAAATAGGGTGGGTGGGCGGGGCTTATATTTTTCCTTTTTTTCTTAATATACGTAGTCGTCTTTTCAGTACAACAAACATGTTTAAAAAAGCCCCGCTCCTCGATCTGACAACGAATGAAAAATCTTCGGCTTTACTTTTCTAAATTTACATAGTATTCTTTGAACAACACGACACTCAATAACATGTTTTTAATTTCTCGTAGAGAAATAAGGATTTTGCAGTTAAGCTCCGCCTTTTTGGCTTACAACGAATAAAAAATATCATCAGAATTGAGACAGGGTGGGTGGGCGGGGCTTATTTTTTGTCTGTTTTTCTTAACATGTGTAGACTTATTTCGGCAACAAGAAACTTAAAACATGTCTAAAATGGTAAATTTCTTTAATACTTTGATGTTCAACGTCAACAGCAAGTTTATAAATCGCACTTAATGTCAGTTGCACAATCGAAAACAGTTCAATTAAAATTATACAACAAATGAAAATTACTGAGGTTAAAATTGTGAGATTAAAGAAATATTGTATGAGGTGAAAATTTGCAGAGTTAACAAAATTTACATGAGATTAATAATTGCGACACTTTTTCAGTGATTCAAATAAAGGGTTTACATTATATCAAATTATATCATGATCTATTTAAGTGATTGGTTACTTAAAAAAAAACAATTTACTTTGAGAGTTTCAAATACCGCGAACTGGTTACCCCAACAAAACACATAATAAACAAAGACAAAAATATCCAATCACCGCTCCGAGGGAAAAAGCGTCTCGGTGATGTAAATTTTAAATCGTTGCGAGGAATTGCCTCGATGATATATATTTTAGCGGTGGGAGGAATAATCCTCGTTGATGTTATTAATGTCTAGCGTTGCGAGGACGAACCTCGATGATGTAATTAATTTGTAGCGTTGTGAGGGCATGCCTCGATGATATAATCAATCTGTAGTGTTGTGAGGAGATGCCCCAGTGATATGATCATGATAACTATGATAATAACGATGATAACCGCCTAAGGGAAGGGAATTATTTAACCCCCCGCCAGTTCGCAGTATAATGAACTTGTTTAACTGCCGTAAATAAACTATTAGCAATGTTGTGTGAAGAATTAAGAAGTGTTATAATGTAAATCCAGAAACTTATTCGTAATTAAACAACAAGGTGTTTTCCTGACTAAGTGAATTTCGTGAAATCTTCTAGCAAGTGGTTTATTTAAATAATCCTGATTGTTAAATTGTTTTAGCACTGGCTGACGATTAAGAAAAACTAACTTGATTGGTGAATTTACAAACAATGAAACAAATTTACAGCACGTGTTTGACTATCCAGCTAGCGTTAACCTGGTTGTCTGTGTTTAACGATTTATGATTTGAATTCTTTTTTTCTTTTTCAAATTCAAATTATTCAAATGTGATTTCGCGCCGCTGTTAATTAATTTCAGCGCGAAAATTTTGATTTAAATTCGATCACCACACCACATTTCCAATATTATTAAACAATTGTTCATCATTATTTAAGCTCTTTAATTTCAGACCAAAATTGTACAATATCTGGTTGTGTTAACAACCGATTTTTTTCCTCGCTTGAAAAATATACTGACAACTTCCTTAATTCTAATAGAGCTTTGTCTGGATTAATCAGATGGGCAAGTTTTTTAAAAACCAAGTTACACAAATTTTCATAATTAATGTTCATAGGATTCAGAACATTTTCTGGTAATAGAAAAGATAGTTGCGAGAAAAATATGAACGCCTTTTTGGTAGTTAGAATCCTACAATTTTAATTTAAATTGTTCATTTAACGCTGGATCACAATTTTTTAAACACTGCATGGTTTCATTACCTACAAAGACTTGTTCAATTAGCCAAATACACTGACGTCATCCGAGGTCATCAAGATGGCAGCGTTTGACAACTAGCCGGTTTTCTCATAAGAGTCAATGCTAATATTTTCGGAATTCATTTAAATTTGAGAGTGTGTCAACTATGTTTTTATAGTTTGGTAAGTTTGTTACAGTTTCTAGACTGTGTAGATATCTGTAAAACGCACCATAACGTTTGAATATCCTTAAAAAATAATGTTTTCCAATATGATGTACAGGTTAACTTCGCTGCATCTTATATTATTTGTTTTGCAAATTAATTCTGTGTTAATGTACATCAATGTTTTTTAAATACACTAGCATCTTAATATTATAATATTTTGTATTTTAGGAGAAAATGCCTAAATTTTGTGCTGTTGTGGGTTGCGCGAATCGAAGCACCAGAAATGCGGACAAATTTTATTTTCTTTTCCCAGCAATTAGTAACAATAAAGGTAAATATATACAGGATGGGGAAAAAAGGCGGAAGTTTTGGTTAAAAGCCTTGAAACGAGTACAGTAACTACGTATTAGATTTACAGTTTCTAATAAATTAGGTAGATACTACATTGGTGCTCTTTTAGGTAAACCTGCAGATTTGTCGGATGTGGATCACCCTGATTATGTTCCATCACAAAATGTAGAATATCAAAATAAATCCACTCATAATACTTGTAATGTTGAAAGACACAGTCGTTTAAAAAAGAGAAAACTGAATAAATGCCTCCAGACTTTTGAATGCACGAATTTCATTGTGGGTTGTTTTACTTATTCCAAAAATAAAAAAGTTTAGAATGGTATTCATTGTTATGGTAGGGACATCGTCTAAACACAAAATAAAATCACTTGCACTGCAAGGATCTACGCCGTTTAAATTGTTTAACTTTTGTACATCTGTTTTTCTCTTTGACGGAAAGACATCGTGCATAATCACTTAAATTATCCATACTTTAAAAACAAATCACACCCCATCACTTTAAACCCCCCATCACATTAACCTCACACGAAAATATTAATTTCCGATTTACCGCTTAAAACACACGGATGTAACTATTTTGGGTGACGAGGAATTCAGACCAAAACAGCGTTCTCTATTTTTATTTTTATTATGTATTTTTAAACTCAAATCGCCAAAAAAAGCACCCTGACACACAGAAAAGATATGAAAGAAGCTAGTCACATGTTTATTTTCTAGATAAATACCCACACTTTTAAATAAAATGCGAAAATGTTAACATTGTCACTTATGGAGTTTCACGGCGCTTGTCAAACGCTGAGTTCCCGCCACAGCGTGACGTCACGTGTTATTGGCTAATTGGTAGAAGAACGTGTGGGTGATACACATTATTCAGTTTATACAACTCTTCATTTTGAAAAAATTGCGGTTGTATAAAATTTAGGCATAATTCTCTTACAAATCTTTCACATTCAACAGAGTACATTTATTAAAACTTTTTCGTTTTCGGATTGAAAGATAGCGTTAAATGTATTAAGATGGGCAAAACGGAATTCCGCTACTTCTGGCAACACTGTGACAGTTAGTGGGTTGGGCATAGAAAACCCTACAAAAATTGTTTATAAAACAATCTGTGGTACAGCATAGCGTCATCTCGCGTTTCTACCAACCATATGTCACGCATATGTCATGTGTCAAATAGGTGAAAAAGCAGTGGCGTAACTTAAGGTATATTGATATACGTTAGGAGTATTTTTTTTCACCGTGTGATTTTAAATATGTATTTTTGTGAATTTAAAAATAGTGAAAATAAAATATTATTAGTCTCAATAACAAATATTTATTACTTATTTTTAGATTTTGTTGGAAGCAGAAGTACACCACTTAGACAGACCCGGGATGTTTCTCTGAGAACTACAACGACTCCACGTATGTATTTTAATTTAATGAAAACTCTTATGTTCGTTTACTAATAATTTTTGATTGTCTATCTAATTTTGAGCTAATAACGATAAGCATAATTTGTTTAAAGATATTAAAGAAACTTATAACTGCATGTAACATAATTTTCATTGAACAGAACTGTACATAAAGTAAAAATGATGCAATTAATTAATACCTGTGTACATTTGCAGGTAAAATTTTGGAGCGCATAGGCGTAAAACAGCGGACAACGACCAATTTTACGTCTAACGAAGTAAAACTCTACAGAGAAGCAAAACGCCTGCAAAAACAAGTAGGCCGCTTGCAAAAGCAGGCTGAAAAGCGGAGACATGACCTACAGTCCGCAAGGAAATTTGTTCGGGATCAACGATTGGTTGATCTCGTAGAAGGGTTGACTCCTGTTCAGCAGCGGTTTTTCGAAAATCAGATTAGGAACGTAAATCGTAAACCAAAAGGCAGGAGTTTTACGTTTGAGGAAAAGGCAGACGCCATTGCCATATGGAAACATGGCCCGAAGACGTACAAACTTCTGTCTAAAATGTTTACGTTGCCGTCTATTGACACTCTGAGGGCAACCCTAAATAGAGTTCCAATAGAACCGGGTATCAACAAACCCATATTCGAAGTTCTCGGAAAGCAAGTACGTCGCAAAATGGACCCCAAGTACAATCTGTGTACTCTCATCTTCGATGAGATGTCCATACAGCCTCACCTTGACTACTTGCCTTGTGAGGACAGAGTTGTGGGTTTTGAAGATGACGGTACAACAAGGACGGAAAAAATTGCAGACCATGTTTGCGTCTTTATGCTTAGAGGAATTTTTGGAAGGTGGAAGCAACCTGTTGCTTTTGCTTTTTGTAAAAGTTCTTTAGCTGCCGTAAACATTGTCCGTTTTTATAAAGAGATTGTGAAAGAAGCAACAGCGATAGGCTTAAACATCATTGCTTCGGTTTGTGATCAAAGCACTACAAACAGTGCTGCAATCGATATACTTTTGCAGGAAACCAGGCGACGTGCTATTTTAGAAAATGAAGAGGAAACTGAAGAGAATGTGATAAAAATTGGTGATCACAAAGTTGTCCCTCTCTTTGATCCTCCTCATCTTCTAAAAAGTATGCGGAACAATCTTCTCACCAAAGATCTGCTTTATGTAGATAAAGCAGGTGTGGAGAGAAGAGCTTCTTGGAGTTTTTTTGAAAAGGCATATGGATTAGATCAGACGCTGGGTGACAACCTAAGAATGATGCCAAAGATCACCATAGACCATGTGAAGCCTAACTTAAGAGGCAAAAAAATGAAAGTTCGTTATGCTTCACAGGTCTTTAGCCGTAGTGTTTCTTCTTTCATAAATCTCTGTTCCAGCCGGACATTTGGGGGAATCCTGCCGCCTGATGCTCAATACACTTCCGATTTGTTTATGTTCATGGATTCTGTCTTTGACAGTGTTAATGGAGGATTTGGAGACTGCGGTGGTAAGAACTTACGTAAATTGGTAGGAGTTAAAAATTACCATCACACTTGTTGGCTAGAAGGGAAACGCATGTTCAGCAACATGAGATTTGTACCACGTAAAGCTGGAGACCGAGCAAAACCCCCAGTTTTACAGGGGTGGTATCGTACTTTAAATGGTTTTATGATTATCAAGGAAACTCTAACGAAACTTGGCTATAACTTTTTCCCAGCAAGAGCTTTTAACCAAGATCCGTTGGAAAATTTTTTTGGTCAAATAAGACAATATGGAGGACGATATACAAATCCTACTTGTCGAGCATTCGTGCCATTTTATAAGTCATTGATGATGAAGAATTTTTGCTCCTATCATTCTCGTGGCTCTAATTGTGAACAAGATGAGGACTCATTTGTGATCACAATTCGGGAGTTTCTTGGTCTTCAAATAAATCGGAAGTGTGTCGAAGATCAGTGGAAACCGCCACCAGTTCCTGATACTGTAACGAAGGATAAACTTTATGACCAGAATGTTATAGGCTACATAAGCGGATTTCTAGTCAAACATATGTCAAAAGAACCACTTGGCTGTGAAATCTGTCGATCTAACTTAAAGCACGATGGGGATCCAGATATACAGTATCATGGCTTGGTGGAAAAGAAAGAGTACGATGATAAAAACAGACGGTTACAATATACGAATGTGGGGGTGATTAAAACTCTGATTGAGACTCATAATCACCTGCGCATTCTTTTACCGTCTGCAATTTATCATTCTTCTCTTTCTAGAAGGATTATAAGCCACCTGCGAACTACAATTGATTTTGATTTTCAGGAATGCTTGCATACCGAAGAACTAAAAACTAAACTTTTCCATTTATTTGTAAGAGTGTTTATCTTTGGATACATGAAAAAACTGAGTAATATAGTATTTGGTAGGCAAGAACCGAACAGATCAATTTCGTTGGAGACAGAAATGCAAAAATTATATTTACGTTTTAAAAGAAAATAGAACATTTGTATAATTTTGCATTTTGCAGGTTATTAATCAGCTTTGTTTTGTGCATACCAGAAGAAAATGATGGCTATATGAGGTTAAATATTCGAACATTACCACTGAGATATATTGTACTGTGATACCTAAGGAGGTCGAAATTGCAATCTCCAGATTTTCATTGAGTTGTCTAAATCTTTAACCTATTGTTATGTTATCAAAGTGATTGTATTGTCACATTTCTTAAGGTATGAACAAAAAGTGCAAAGGCAGTTTGCGTTTCTACTGATGGGAGATTAAAAATTAATTTAGTTTTAAAAAGTCTCAGACTTTATTTTGTTATTTTAATGTAGTGGCTATTTTGTTAAGAATATTCTGCTTGCAACAAATACATGTTTTTTACTTGCATTTTAAAAATCTACACACTTTTATTAAGTTGTATATAGGTAATAATTAGGTGTGTATATAGGTATGTACTATTTGTTCTATTATTTTAAATAAAAGTACAAATGTAAGTTATCAGGGCAAGCCAGTTTCATTATCTCGTTTATCATGCGATTTCTGTTCAAAATATTTTCTTATGCTGTTTTATTTTGCACTGTTTTCTTTGACTTTTTGGTACTTTTAGAATTTTGTCATATTATGGTATTTTTATTGTTATTTGTAGTAGTATTTTCATTAATTATTCAATGTTACGGTTAAATATATTGTTTGGAAAATATTCCACATTTTTTATTGTACTGTTTGTGTCTGTGTCTTTTTATATGTTGGTTTCAAAGCCTATTTTGGCATTTTGAAACTAACATATAAAAATGCACAAACAATGTTTTCCCTTTAAATATAAAAAAAATCTATTAGCAAAATTCCCTTTCAAATTTGGCGCCGATTTTAGTTCCGTACCACACCAGTAGAGGCGTTCATTAGGAACAACATACAAGCATTGGAGATCGTATTCTATAGTGAGGGTATTCTATGGGGTTGGGTTTGGGAACATCGAAGTTGAAAAAGATAGAGAGCTCGAATTGGGGTTACAATTTTGAATAAAACTACACGAAAAAGCGCCGTAAAGAAATTACACCAAAATATTCAGGTAGGAGTCACGATGGGATTGATATAAATAATGGAATGCAAATGCATGCTGTGCAGAACTAATTAATCATTGGTAGTTTTAAGGTTAGGATGGCGGAGATAGATTATCAAATGGCCCTTTTACTCCAACACCGATTCGAACAGGAATATAAAGCATCCAGGAACGCGCAGAGCTCAGACGAGCAGTTGGCCCGACAACTTCAAGAGCAGTTTGAGCAAGAAGAAGCAGTCGAAAGACCAAAGTCCGATTTGGTTTATGAGCCTCCAATATCTGAGCACAATACTTCCAGATCACTAGTAGATCCTTCTTGGGAGCTCGTAGATCCCACTCCTGACATTCATAATTTGTTTATGGTTTTTAATCAACGGTTTTTCTGGAATAAATTGTTAGCTGTGTGTGTGGCTTGGAGCAAACGAATGACTTCTTGTGCTGGTATTTGCGCATACAATGGTAGAGGAGGAATGTGTAGGATAACTTTGAGCGCACCTCTCCTTAAGTTAAGACCCAGGAAAGATTTGGTGGAGACACTTCTCCATGAAATGATTCACGCATTTTTGTTTGTTACTCACAATAATAGGGACCGAGATGGTCATGGGCCAGAATTCCATAAACACATGTATAGGATTAATAAAGCAGCAGGTTAGTTTTAGGTATATATAATGATTAGTATTCAGCATTTCAACTGAATGCTGGTTGATCAGTTTAAAATTTTATTCACGTGACAGCTGGATACTGTGTTTGAATTTGGTTAGATGTGAGTTTGACTGTCTTGAGTTGAATTATGTCTGTTTGAGATAATGTATGATAAATTTTCGTGTATAAATTTTGGTACTTTTTTCACAGCAAATGTTTTATGTCACTATCATGGCAATTCTGAAATCACTTATTGTTAGTGATGTGAGAGTACGTATTAAAATATTCGTTTATTCCGAATACAGAAATATTCGGGTGAAGCCGAATATGCCCGAAAGGAACGGATTCGGAATAAATGTTACGCGAGAGTGGTATACGGAACACGGACAATGACAATTGTCGTTCGGAATCGGAAAGAGAATAAGGAATTACCGAGGGATGAAAATTTAGATAGGTAATATTTTTATTAATAAGTACGTTATTAAGGTCATGAAAGTTCGGAAATATTATTTTTTTTAGTTTCAAATATATGAAAAATCAAATTGTTTAAAATTCTTCTCGTTTGCTGCGCTAACTCGAGCGATATTTATAAAAAAAATTATCGAAAATTTAAAATAATCTTGACATTTTACTCAAGAATATTTTTCTTTCCTCGGCTCAACGGTCCAACGCTAGGGGCTGGGGGACTCCAGAAATGGCCCTTTGCGTTCAGTACTAAAGAAACGTAATCGTAAGCGAATTCTGAGTCGGTATCCGGATTCGGAGTACTCGGACTACTCGGTAAATCGGAGGCTCACGTACGAATTCGGAACCGGATGATTATTACGAATATTGCATTCATCCGATTCCGTACAATCCGAATATCAGGATCATCCGAACATTTCCAACGCTACTTATTGTCATATAACACGCACATCGTAACTACTTTTTCTGATACATTAGTTGGGCTCCTCTATTTCATTCCTCTGATTGTTGGTGTACCATTCCTCTATGAATTTTTTCATAAACTGTTGTTTGTAATTTTTGATTTATTCAGTTTCTGTGTAATTTGTTTTTTATGTACGAAACGTCAACTTTTAGGCACAAATATTACTGTTTACCATAGTTTTCATGACGAAGTTCGGTTATACCAACAACATTGGTGGCGTTGTAATGGCCCTTGCCAACACTGGAAACCTTATTTTGGTATGGTGAGAAGGGCCAGTAACAGAGCTCCAGGTCCAAATGATAGATGGTGGGGAGATCACTTTCAGCGGTGCGGTGGCACATTTGTCAAAGTAATTTTCAAATGTAGTTAATTTTTGTAATTCTATTTTTTGGTGTTAGGTAAAAGAACCTGAAAAACGTACTCAGAAGCAAGGAAAACCAGAACAGAAAAACATAGTAAGTGATACGAAATCTAAAGATATTAGAAATTTTATGGTCCCAAGTAGTACAAGTTCGAGTGTTAGTAATGTTAAAGGGTTCAAAGATTTAACAACTAAAGTTCAGGGCAAATATAACTCCTCTAGTACCATAGTCGTTACCAAAAATACTAAAACTAATAGTGAGACTATTTATAAACCGACTGTATTTAACGCCACTACTACGGGTGCTACTGTTAAAAAGACTGAAACTAACAATAGAGTAGACACAAGTACAACCAATGAGTGTACTGGAGATTTTCTTGCCGTTAGAAATCATTGGGCAAACAAGTTTGGTAATACTAGTAAGCCCAATAATAAGCGGCCAGCTCAAAGTGAACCATCTACCAGTTCCAAAATTCAGAGGGTACCCAACTCAGTTCCTCCCGATGATTTTTGTGATTGTCCAGTGTGTAATAAAAAAGTCTTATTGTCAGAACTAAATAACCATTTAGATAAATGTTTGTGTGAACCATCAAAGGCCACAGAACCAGAAGTTCCAGGTTCTTCCAAAGAAGAAACGAACGAATGTCCTGTTTGTAATACACAAATTAAATGTTCTCTTTTCGATGTTCACGTTGAGCAGTGTGTGAAGAGAATTTACGATGGAGTAGAAGAAAAATTAGGGAACAAAGAATCTCCGGAAACGATCTCGTGTTTAGCGTGTGGGAAGAAAATACTTAAAACAAATCTGAGTATACACTTGGAGGATTGTATGATCGATATTTTCGATGTAGATTTTGACGAGGCAAAGGAAGAAGTGAAGAATAGTGTCGATACGGACGATAAGCAAACCAAATCGGAGTTTAATTGCCCTTTTTGTATGAAGTTGGTAAACGAAGCAGGAATGAAGCAACATCTTGATAGCTGTCTACAAGCTGATAGTGCTGACATAGTGGAGTCTTTGGTGGACGATGCCTTTTAAGTTGTTTACATTTTTACGATTTTTGATACTTTAAATACATTTATTTTTTAGAAAATGGAGTTTTATATTGACCTACTAACTATATGATTTTTTTTGTCAAGTTGGCAATCTATTTAAAATGTTCGTAATTAAGTGCTGCCGCTGTAAAATAGAGTTGTAATCAAATTACGTACATATTAGTTACCATTTCTTAAAATTAAGTACAGTGGGCACATGACCAATAACTTCGAAGACAAGAGATTTGCGGTGACTGAATTACACAGGTGGGCTTTGCAAATGTTGCAGTGGACGTCTGGTGTATTTTTTTCGTGGTCACACATTAGTGCATATCTCATCACGTGATCAGTGAGACACCCCTTTGCTTCAAATTGGACTGAAATGAATTGGATACACGTTTGTTATTGAGAATACATAAAACAAATACTTTCTTTAAATACAAAACTGAAACACTGTGTCGTTGAGTAGTTTCCACTGCACATGCGCCTTTCATATTTTTCCTCGCAGTTAGGCCAATTGTTCTGTGGTAGCCACATAGGCTGATGTTCTTTAGGGGATGCCCAGCATTCGTAACAGATTAGATCTGACTGTTCCTCCTGTAAGCTTGTTAAGACAAGAGTGTAGAAAACGGAAAACTTCAATAGAATCATATTTCAACTATTTTTGTCTTTAAACCATGTGTAGAAGGTCGATACATAAAAGTGACAAGAAGGTGACGTTTTCAGTAAAAAATGATCCAAGGAAACGCTGTTTTTCCCGGTAGGTGAGTAATCAGTATATTAGAGTACAAAGTTAATGAAAAGTACAGTATGCTTCAACATTGATGACAATAATATGACGGATGATGACTTGACTGACATTTGATGTTTTGCAGTGCAATTGCATTAGGTTATGGGGCATATATGTTCAAAAATAGAGGAAAAATGAACCCTAGTGTTTATCTAATGCATCTCCGTGTGGGGGCTCAAGGAGCAGCTGTTGCATCATTGACTGTAGGTCAATAATAATATACCGGGTGTCTAGAACTCTTCGCTGCGCTGTTAACAATCAACTGGTGAGTCTGGGAAAAATCGTAAAAAATCCTTCTCACATTTTGGTGGAATTATAATGATTTTAAAATTGGTTATTTTGCTACGTTTAACAACTAAACAACACATTCATTATCACAGTAACTAGTAATAAAACTTTTTGTGAATATTTCTCTCCCCCATGACCATGTTTAATTACCATTTCAGTTAGAATGTTGTGGTAACCCAAAAATCCCGCCTTAAATTGACATGTGAAAAAAAAATTGAAATCCCACAAAATGGAACCTACGTTGTGTGTTTTTGTGGCGGAATGCGCTCAGATGTAAGTGGTGGACCTCAAGGTTGGAAAAATACCGCTAAATAAAACACAAAATATATGGAGGATACAAAATGTTTTATCCGTCCAAACTTTGAATGAAATTAAATTAAACGTTCCGAACAAATGCAAATGTTTAAATATCACAAATTTAATAAAAGCAAATAAAAATCTGAAATAAAATAACTGGATGCACATACAAAAGTTATTACGGACGTGTGGCGGCAAATTTAAATTATGGCAGTCAAGAAAAGCACAAACTTTTAATAAAAAAAACTGCAGCGGCAGCGGCACTTGAGCGCTACAATTGTGTGGCGATCGAACTATTTCAATTTCCTTCTAAAGCACAGCAGAATTACCCACAGGGGGCGTTGTAGCACGAGCGGAGTTTGGGGCTCCTGGTTGTGGCTACTCTCCTACTCACGACGGTGATTCTGTCTATCGGAAGCACTGCCGCACAGCACCTTTCCATTACGAGCAGGCCGTTACGGTCGCAAACTCGCGGTTAAGTGCCGGCTTTGGACAGCACCCGATAGCGTCACGTCATCTTGACATTTAGTTGTCTTTGCATAACACGATTACTTAAGAACATATTTCACATGGTAATTTCTCGTAGAAAAATAAGGATTTTGCAATTAAGCTTACGACGAATAAAAAAATCATCAGAATTGAGATAGGGCGGGTGGGCGGGGCTTATATTTTGCCTTTGTTTTCTTAACATACACTTAAGTTTCATGTTGTGAAAAGAAGTCTACATATATTAAAACAAAAAGGAAAAGTCAACCCGCCCACCCGCCCTATCTCAATTGTGATGATTTTTTTATTCGTCGTGTACCAAGGGGGCGGAGCTTAACTGCAAAATACTTATTGCTTTACAATAAATTAAAAATGTGTTTTTGAGTATCGTGTTATTCAAAGAATACTACGTATGTCTAAAAAAAGGCAAAATATAAAACCCCGCCCACCCACCCTATCTCAATTGTGATGAATTTTTTATTCTTAGAAACCTAAAACACGTTTAAAATGGCAAATTTTTGTAAGAAAATATGAATTTTGCAATTTGGCTCCGCCTCGAAGTCTGGCAACGAATGAAAACTTCATTACTATTTGGATCAGGACAGGTATGGGTGGGGCTTAATCTTTGGCTTTAATTTTTTCTTTATACACGATACTCAAAAACATGTGTTACATGGTAATTTCTTGTCGAGAAATAGTAAGGATTTTGCAATTAAATTCCGCTCCTTTGGCTCTCGATGATTAAAAAAAGGTCCTCACAATTGAGATAGGGCGGGTGGGCGGGGCTTATATTTTGCTATTTTTCTTAACATACGTAGTCGCCTTATCAGAACAAGAACCTTAAAACATGTTTAAAGTGGTAAATTCTTGAAGACAAATATGGATCTTGCAATTAAGCCCCGCCCCTCGATGTGACAACCAATGAAAAATTCATCACAGCTGAGAATTGAGATCTGGGCGGATATGGGTGGGGCCTAACCTTCTACCGTACCTTCACGGTCTTTTCCCATAGTGGGGCAACGTTAGATTGATTTTAACTGCCGCAAATGAACTATTAGCAATCTTGTGTGAGGAATTAAGAAGTGTTATAATGTAACACTTACGTATAAGGATCCAGAAACCTTATTCGTAATTAGGTAAACAAACAACGACTCCTTACTAAGTGAATTTCATGAAATCTCCTAGCAAGTGTTTATCTAAACAAATTCCTGATTGTTAAATTATGTTAGAACTGGTTAACGATTAAAATCCTAACATGAACTGTGAATTTACACCACATGTTAGCGTCGGTTAAAAATTCACTTATTTCCGCTTGGAAAAACCACAAGAATAAGCTACGCGTGTTGGGGAAGCTGTGGCGAAATTTTAATTCAAATTCGGTCTTATTTTAGCAGGTACTAGCTCCCTTGGTTGTTATGGTTATTGTCCTAAAAAAAAAAAATAAAAGGTGGATTTCAATCACCCTCGTTACTAGGAAATCAGAAAGTAAGCCGGAGGTATTCACGCATTAGGTGCGTGCAATGTTGCCAATTTTACTTTTGTAAAACTACGTTTTTTTGTAATCTATAGTCTTTAATTTGCCATTTCTATTGAAACACCACTTGTTGTTCGTAAATTTGGCAACTTTCATATTCAGAGAGTTTTCTAACTAAAAGCCGTTGTCAATCAACTGAAAGTTGTTACCAATTGCTAAATTTTAAGCAAAATCAACAGGTGGTGTTTCAACAGAAATGGCAAAGACAATACATCATAAAGAATTTTTTTATTATTTTCTGGGACTCCCGACATACCATGATAAATGAACACAGGTATATGAAAAATGAATTGAGCCACTAGTAATACGTTTAGTGCGGGATTACATTAAAACGTGTTCTAATTTATTGAATCTTACCTGATCGTTTTTTTTATTATATATTTATTTTTATAACAAAAAATATGTAGTAACGTAATTGGATAAGACTTATTAATTTTTGTGTACATAATTGTAACGCGACTTAAATTATTACACTTTATTTAAAATGTAAGTTGTTCGATGAATGTAGATATGTTTGTCCATTTTTGTTAATAAAAAATTGAATTCAAAATGAACATTTATTGGACACCTATTTTCTACATATAAAAAATACATACATCTAATAAATACAGCGAAGCGTTTCATCACATGATCTTCCCTTTTTCCTCTTGCAATAGCAGAATTGATTTACAGTCATATACCTGACCAGTAACTCCTTAATATCTCCTAATAACTCTTCAGTAAAACCCAGTTCAAACAAATTTTTGAACATTTCAAACCTTTCCCTGTCTACAATATTGCCAACCAAAGCAAACGCAATGCACTCCACCCTCAACAAATTCGTTCGCGATTCCAGCGACCAATTATAAATTGTTGGAATAGTATCCCATCTTAGTCTAAATTTCTCCACACAATCCGTTAAATAAACCCTATACTCTTCCATTAAAAATCTATCGCACAGACCAATCACATCAAGGTGTGTATCCAAGTCCAGTTCAATATCAACAATTTTAGTCTTATCTATATCACATTTTATAAATTGCAGCAAGTATTCCAGCGCTTTATTCGTCACGTTAGGCAAGGTTATCACGTCTTGACACGACTCTTTGAAAGCGCCGTTCAAAAGTCGCGCGAAAAAGTCCGAGTTCTTGCTCAGCAGATCTCGATCTGCGCGGACCAAACTACCGTCGTCTAATTTGAACGTGACGAGAGTAGAAGACATGGGAGGTTCGTTGTCGATCAAGTTGGATTTATATGAACTGGACACTTGCTGGGGGTTTGGAATGCCAAGTTTTTGTGATGCAAGGACGCACAACACTTTGATGCTTTTGTTCTGTAAGTGCGAGTCGTCATTGAGGAGTTGCATGAGGATTTCAAGACCACCGCAGTTGAGCATGAGTTTCACCAGAATACTTCTGTCCCTGTGGAAAGTGGGTTTTAAAATGAAAAATCTTTGTAGTCATTTCTTACCTTATTATATAGGGTATGACTAGTGTCAACTGTTGTTTTGTTTCAATGTCTCCACGTAATAATTTGTGAGCTATGTCGCCTTTTCCACCACCTGATTCAGCTAGTTCAGTTATTTTTCTAATGATGATGCTGCTGATACATTGGAAGTCGCGACATTTCGAACACCAAGCGTTACGTAGAGTTTTGGCACGATCGTAGACGGCGGGAATGAAGTCGGTTTTCATTAGAGGTAATAAATAATCGTGGGATCTACGATTTGCTGATATTTTATAATTACACTCACTAATTTAAGCATTCTTACTCAAATATTTTTTCGACGATTTCCACAATATTTAAAATTGTTGACGTGTGTCCCCAATCAAAGTATCCCGAACTTTTGATAAGTCCCAGCAAAAGTTCTGGCGCTCCCAACTGTGTTATGGGAGGTTTTATCTTGACATAAGTTTTGAGTAGATCAAGTATTTCAATTATAAGTTTTTTTTTAATCTGTTTTACAGTATATGAATCCACACTAAAACCTGCAAGATGAAGATTTAGTTTCCTGTTTGTGTGTGCACAACTAAAAATTACTTTGTAAGTCTTCTGGGTTGTCTGGAATGTCGTCTGAATTCTTTGGTTCTGGTTCTGGATTAGTGCAGTCATCTTCTACAAGCGGCAAGGAAAAGTCATTAGGGTCAACTTCGCTACACACGGGAGAGTAGTCGTCAGAATCGGATCCTGAAATTTCTAACGCACAAATAAATTTGAAAATACACGAATTTTAAGATTTACCAGAAAACTGAAAACGGGGACTAGATTGTGGGGATAATCCAGACGTACATGACAATACATCTGAATCGTTGCTTGACGCTGGACTAAAGTCATATCTTACATTGCTTGAATATAATTGATCAAATTCTTCGGTACTACTTGAGGACGATATAATTTCACGTTCATTCTACAAATACATATTTTTTAGTCGTCATTGTCAACATTAAAAACTACATTCATTACGTCACAATCATCAGACAGTTTAATTTTTTTGACTCCTTTAAATCTGGCAATAAGATTAGTTTTTTCTTTTTTGTTACACTTATGAGTAAGATTCAGTGGTTGAACGGCCCCAACTATCAACTTCAGTTTCTCAGTTAATACTGTCACAGCGTTACATTTAATCTGAGCAGCAATTAAATTACTGCTATACCTGCACTTGCCCAGTGTTGACATAATCAACAAAGAACACTCAATCTGTAAAAGAAAATAATAAATCGATTCATAACCCACTACTTTCTGTTATAATAAACCTACTTTTCTATTGTTCTCAAAAGTTAGACCCTGTAATACAGTTATCAGGAGTGGGATACTTTCACCACACCTTTCATTTTCTCTGTTCCCTGGATGGTCAAGTAAATAGCAAAGACATTTAATACATTCTTCGCACGTCGAGTTAAATTCTGAAAAACGGAAGTATAAAAATTTAACACAAGAATATAGTTTTCTGTACCTTCAATGATGGATTCATCGCGGAGTACTTTCACAAAACTATCGAAAATTTCAGGGACCGGCAAGTCGGATTTGAGCTGGCTGATTCTTAAGAAATTCATCACTATTTTGACTACTTGTCGCGGGGACACAAGGAGAATTTTGCTGAGGTAGGCAATGGAATCGCCCTTGCTGGTGTTTCTCATCTAACAATTTGTGCAATTATTTATAAAATAGAGTGTCAATAAATGACTACATCCAGTAAAAATTATATTATATTATATTGAAAGAACACTTGGGACGATAAATAAGTTTAATAAATGCTTACCTCTAAAATTGATGGATAATGTCTGTACCGCGAATATTCATGTAAAAGCTTGATGATGTTCAGAACAACTCCATCGCCTTGTTTAGTAGCTTGCCAAATAGTACCATACTTAATAAGTAACATCCCCACAGTTTTGAGGACCCCATATGTCTCAACCAACGTTTCAAGCGTTTCTCGAGACAATAATTCTCTTAGAGATCTTACTCCCATTTTCACTGTGGCCTCTGATACTTTCCCGTTCTCTTCTTCCACCGAATCTTTCAAAACTTTTACAATATGTATTACAATCTGTGGCTTCTTATCCATAATAACTTTAGTCCATTGATCCTTGTGCTGACACAAGTTGCCTACAATTCTAAACACGCGTCCGTTTATGCTGTCTTCCTTGGGGTACCGTTTCAGAAGCTGATTGAGATTTGATAAAATGCCATATTGCGTCACCTACAGAGATTTATTGCTACTAAACATGACTTAAGTTTATGACGTCACATAACATACCACATCTCTCGCACATCTTGCGTCCAGACAACAGTTACCCAGGATGCTCAAAGAGACGTTAATTATTCCTTTTTTGGACGTCTGAAGGGATGAAATAATTTGTTTGAAACTACCCCTTTCTCGGATTTTGGTAATGTTGTCATTGTTCTTGGCACAGTCGACATCCACTCTTTTTCTTACTTCAATGAGAAGCTTAAGTAATTTTGTACTATCTTGAACACTTTGGAGAGACGTCAAAACGTCGTCAAAAGTACTACTGGACATTATTGTGTCTATTGCAACATTTCTTACACTTTTGTTTGTTTTTTTTTGTTGAGTTTTACAATAAAATTTAACACGAAACACGCCGTATGTCACTGAAGTGACAGTTGGGAGCACTGAAGTTGAAAAAGATAGAGAGCTCCAATTGGGGTTACAATTTTGAATTAAACTGCACCAAAAAGCGCCGTGAAGAGAATACACCAAAATATAAAGGTAGGAATCACGTTAGGATTGATATAAATAATGGAATGCATGATTTGCAGAACTAATTAATTATTATTATTAGTAGTTTTGAGGTTAGAATGGCGGAAATGGATAGACAAATGGTTCTTTTACTGCCACACCGATTCGAACAGGAATATAAAGCATCCAGGAACGCGCAAAGCACAGACGAGGAGTTGGCCCGACCATTCCAAGAACAGTTTGAGCAAGAAGAAGCAGTCGAAAGACCAAAGTCCGATTGGGTTTATCAGTTTACAACATCTGGCCATAATTCTCCCAGATCACTAGTAGATCTTTTTTAGGAGCTCGTACATCTCACTCCTGACGTTCATAATTTGTTTATGGTTTTTAATCAACGGTTTTTCTGGAATAAATTGCTGTATGTATGTGTGGCTTGGAGCAGACGAATGACTTCTTGTGCTGGTATTTGTGCATACAATGGTAAATGAGGAATGTGTAGAATAACTTTGAGCGCACCTCTCCTTAAGTTGAGACCCAGGAAAAATTTGGTGGCGACAGGTCTCCAGAAAATAATACACCCATATTTGTTTGTTACAGTAATAGGGACCGAGATGGTCATGGGCCAGAATTCCATAAACACGTGTATAGGATTAATCAGGAGGCAGGTTAGTTGAATTGAATGTTGCCTGAATCAGTTGAAAATTTGACAGTGTTTTGAGTAAATTTTAATCGTGTAAGCATGTGATTGTTGAATATTGTGTTTGAACTTGGCTAGAATGTGAGTTTGGCAACGTCTGACTTTCTTTTAAAGAATCTTGAGTTATTTATTATGTCTGTATGAGATAGGGTATGATAAATGCAGAAGTATATATGTATTTCTATCTTTTATTTTTGTGTATAAATTTTGCTAGTTTTTTCACAGGAAATGTTTTATGTTACAATGATGGCAATTCTGATCTAACGTATTATCACATAACACGCATTTCCTACTCACGACATTCCATTACCAAAATCTTAAAATCTACGAAATAGGCTCATGAAACTAATTAAAATTAATCTTAAAAATCCTCTCATGCGGTTAAAAACTTAAGAATAACCTAACAAATCTCTAAATATTTGGGATACATTCTAAAACATAATAATAATACGTGTGTGGTAACTAAGCCTCGAAAACTGCAATTCGAGTAATCTACTTAGTCATTTATTAAACTCCGATTGAGTATTTACAGGCTAGCTAAGTACGCTAAAACCTCTCTACAACGGACAGCTGTGGTGACTAAGAAGGTGTCCGTTATTGAGAGGTGTCCGTTGGAGAGGTTGATAAAAAAATAAATATCTATATTTGTTGTATACATATATTGAAAACCTATTTGATGTATGCACATATAGACATTAAATATTTATATATACTTTTCCACTTAGTGAAATAGCCGCCATTATTTTCATTACGAAGTTTCTATCATATTTGCCAGAAACATACACATACATAGGTAACAATAAGAAGCTTATCGAATTACAAAAACTTAGCAGATTTAAGAATTTAAACAAATAATGAATTATTATTAGTGCAGTGCTGCCGGCAATCATTTGAAAGGATTTAAAATACAATTTTAAAATTAATTTTTGGGAAAACCGGTAAACCTACAATGGATTAAATGGAATAACGAGAAAACCATTAGTATGTCATAATAATTATTATTATAATAGGGTGCCGCGGGCGGTACTCAAAATTAGTTAATCTGTTAAAAGTGCATGAGCTGTTTACCAGGTAAAATCGTAGTAACAAATAAATCTGTCCGTTGTGTAGAGGTAAATTTCTAAGAAATGTCTAGCAAATTTTACTGTCCGCGTCTGTTGTTGAGAGGGTCCGTTGTTGGGAGGTTTTACTTCATTACATTTCCGTGTCCGTTAAGGGAGGTTTTGCTGTACTATTAAAACTGCTAAAAACAATTAAAACGAAAAATCCAGTGGAAATCAAAGAAATCTTCCCCTGAGAATAAAGAAAAACTAAAACTAACCGGATTAAAACATACACTTAAATCTACGCTGAAAATAAGACATTCAAAAAGAGAGATAAGTAATTTTTACTTTAATTAATTCGCTAAATACTCTCATAATTTTCAAGTTCATTTAGGCCAAAACTAAATGCTACTATAACAGATGCTTACACTAATAATAATCTTTCTTTTATTATCCAAAATGTTTCCGAAGATTAAGTTATATCTGTAATGTCAACCTTAGCTAATAAATTGACAGCCGGAGATGATCTCGTTCCTAGTTTCTTGATTCATGATACTCGATTTGTCATTAAGACAGCAACATTTCCAAATAAATGAAAGATAGAGAATTGTTCGTATCTTTAAAAAATGTGATTGCCACTTAATAAAAAACTATAGACCTATTTCAGTCCTTTCCAACTTCGCTAAAATCATCGAAATTCTCCGGTTTATCGAAATATCTATTATAATATTAAGTCATCTCTCCATTCACCAACATGGATTTCTGCCAGCTCGATCAACAATTACCAATTTAGTAATAATTATACAGTTTATCTCGCAAGAATTAGACAGAAATAATAATTAAGTCGATGTTATTTATACTGATTTTTCTAGCGCTTTTGACTCAATAGATCATTATACTTTATTAAATAAGCTAAGCTGTTTTGGATTTGCGGCCAGTTCTCTCAAGTTATTGCAATCGTATTTAAATAACCGTCCTAATTATGTTTCGTACAATGGTTTTAAGTCCAAGAATTTTATTTTCAATTCCGGAGTCCTCCAAGGGTCTAATTTCAGTCCTTTGCTTTTTATTATATTTATCAATGATCTATTAGAGCTTCTTAATTGTAAAGTACTGGAATATGCAGACGGTATAAAGTTATACTCTTCAATTAATAATATCAATGATGTTAAAATTTTTCAAACTAACTTTGATAAATTAGTAAATTACTGCAGTAGTGTTAAACTAGTATTAAATATTGAGAAATGCTTTTATATAACATTCACAAAGAAAGTAAATCCAGTGCATTCTACGTACCTACTATAAATGGTCAACATTTAAAAAAACGCCAAAAGAATATCTGTTACCGCTAAAAATTCCTTCCGCCTCCGGCGCTGTCTGTTCACACCAAATGCATCGAAAACCCCTGACAAAAATCGCATATTTGTGATTATTCAGTTGTTGCAGTCGTATGTGTGATGTGATCGCAGAATTTAGGGTTGTGCAGAGAACTGAGCATAAATTTAATTTGTCAAAAACCTCTTTTCAACACCCAAGTTTGCATTTGCTGATGTCCCACATTTATCGAAATTGATACGAAACCACATTTTTGGACCGTTCAACTTTCAATAATTTCGTTTTTATCATTATTAACTTTCGTTAACCGACAACTAATTGACGTATTTGACAGAGCGATTACAATTCAAGCTGAAATTCTCTAGACTTCCCTAGCGAAGCTCACAAGGTCGTTGATGCCACCTGACGTCACAAATAGATGCGCGGACGATTTTTAAATTGGTACATCGGATGCCTATACCATGTCCCCTTCTACCATGGCGTGGCCCACGGCAACTCGGAACTTGCGTGAAAATCGCTTCTACTGCTTTTATAGGGACTTTTGCCCATTTATTTTGTCTCCCGCGACGTTAGTGAGCCATTATGGGTTGCCCGGAACACGACTTTTAGGCCTTATTTTGCTGTTTTATAAGGCTTAGTTTGGTTTGACTAGGCTTTCGTCTCGGACGGATTTACACGAGTTCGGTGTCGTAAATTTGTCGATTTTTTCAACTTGCATTGGCGGGGTTCTTTGATCTGTTTTTTATGCGTCTGGGTTTTGCCTGCTACTGTTTTAGTTTGGGTAGGAATTCTAATGAAAATAACTGCGATTGGCGGCTTTTGTGGATGTACGGTTCTGCACATGTTGTACGCAATGTCTGACAGGCGCAATGATGTTTGAAATTTACGAATTTTGTTCTTATGTTTGGGGATTGGTGGTAGAGTCTGACTACCTGTTTGAATGGTACTATGTGCAGATTTGGACATGCGTGTTAAGTAATTAACATTTAAAAATTTGCGAATTTTGTTTTTATGTTCTGGAGATGTGTTTTTCGTTTTTTTGTTGTAATTTTCTCGTGAACTGATTTAGTAACGGCCCGTCACAACCAATAACATTGGTGGCGTTGTAATGGCCTTATCTGAGTATGGTGCGGAGATCACTTTCACATTTGTCAAAGTAATTTTTGAACGTAGTTAATTTTTGTAATTTTATTTTTTGGTGTTAGGTAAAAGAATCTGCAAAATCTACTCAGAAAGAAAGGAAGTTGTAAGTAATGCGAAATCTAACGATATTCCTCTGTTCCTCCAGATGTTTTTTTGTGAGTATCCAGTGTGTAATAAAAGTCTTATTGTCAGGACTAAATAGCCATTTAGATAAATGTTTGTGTGAACCATTAAAGGCCAGAGAACCAGAAATTTCAGGTTCTTCTAAAGAAGAAAAGAACGAATGTCCTGGTTGTAATACGCAAATTAAATATTCTCTTTTCGACGTTCACGTTGAACAGTGGGTAAGGAGAATTTACGATGGAGTAGAAGAAAAATTAGGGAACAAAGAATCTCCGGAAGTGATCTCGTGTTTAGCGTGTGGGGAGAAGATACTTAAAAGAAATCTGAATATACACTTGGAGGATTGTATTATCGATATTTTCGATGTAGATTTTGATGATGCAAAGGAAGAAGTGAAGGATAGTGTCGATAAGGACGATAAGCAAACCAAATCTGAGTTTCATTGCCTATTTTGTATGAAGTTAGTAAACGAAGCAGGAATGAAGCAACATCTTGACAGCTGTCTACAAGCTGATGTGCTGACATAATGGAGTCTATGATGGACGATTTCTTTTAAGTTCTTTACATTTTTACGATTTTTGATACTTTAAATACATTTCTTTTTTAGAAAATGGAGTTTTATATTGACCTACTAACTATAGTATGTACCGAGTGAATGTTAATGTTGTGATTTTTTTGTCAAGTTGGCAACCTATTTAAAATTTTGATAACTGTGAACCGACGTAGTAGCATGGATGCCAATAATTCAGAATTGCTAATACAAAAATTTCTGTAATATCGGTATTTGTTTTTTTCGTTTAGCTTATTCTGCAAAAATAGTGAAAATGTTCGTAATTAAGTGCTGCCGGTGTAAAATAGAGTTGTAATTAAATTACATACTGTGGTAAGTTATTATGATAACCCAAACATCCCACCTTAATTGACATGTAAAAGAATTGAAAGCTCGCGAAAAATTCAAAAATTCAAAATTGGCCTTGTCTGTGATTGTCTAACAAAATGGAACCCTACGTTGAGCTTTTAAAAAATGGCGGGATGCGTTCAGGTGCAAATAGTGGACCCCAAGGTTGGAAAAGTACCACTAAATAAAACAAAAAATGTATGGAGACACAAAATGTTTTATTTCTCCACTGACAAAAAAAAAAACGAAAAAAAAGCAAATTTAAAATTATGGCAGTCAACAAGAGAACACAATTTTAATAAAAACTATGCAACGGCAGCGGCACCAAAGCGCTATAAGAGTCTGGCGATCGAACTATATCAATTTCATTCTAGGGCACAATAAAAATACCCAAAGGGGGCGTTGTAGCACGAGCGGAGTTTGGGGCTCCTGGCCGTGGCTGTTCTACCGTCGACGGTGATTCTGTCTATCACAAGCACTGTCGCAAAGCACATCTCCATTACGCACATGCCGTACTAGCAGGCAGTTGCGGTCGCAAACTTGTGGGTGGGTCCCGACAATGGAGAAGACGCCGACAGCGTCACGTCATCTCGACCCCCCTGAGTTTTATACAAAGCCTGCATTCTTTGTGCAGATGTCGCGATAAATCCCGCCAGCTCGACTAGGAACCGCGCACTCCACTTCCACCATGTGTTTCTGTGTTATTGAACCTCAATTCCGTCTGAATGCCAATTTCTATAACTGACATTAAACTACAACTGAACAAGTGTTAAAGTTTCAAAATGAGCAATAAACAACATTTAAATTCGCCATACACTCTTGTGAAATTTGAAACAGCAAGGAAAATTACTGAGGCTAAAATTGTGAGATACAGAAAAATTGCAAAGCTAACAAAAATTACATGATTTTAATAATTTATGTCTATTCGAATTATTGATTAATTTTTAAAAGTGAAGTTATTCAGCTGCATGTTTGGTCATCGTTTACATTCCCCAAACAAACACATAAAAAGCATAGCAGTCAATCTGAAGGTTCAAATTGGCGTCGGACGAATGCGTCGTTAAAAAAAAATGCGTCAAAAATGTGTCTCCCAAAAATGCGATCAATCCTGTGGCGTTAAGCAAATAATGGCCTAAATCAAAGGAATAAAATGCACGTCCCCCCCCCATGATCCACAATGTCGTTAATTTGTTCAATAAGATTTTACAGTTCAAACATATGCTCGGTTTGAAAATACTCTTTCAGTATGGCCGCTGCCAGAACAAAGAATTTAAATAATTAGCTTTGAGAGTTTATATCGTGCAGTGTTTATCCTAAACAAAATGCATGATAAATAAACACAAAATGCGTCCAGCGTTGCGAGGAAAATGCGTCTCGGTGATGTGATGATGGTAACGATGATAATAACTGCCTAAGGGTGAAAATTAATCCCTCAGCCCCTCAGTCCACGATTTCATGAATTCTGCCGCACTTTTCTACGGTCTTTTTCCACAGTGGGACAACGTTAGGTTAATTTAACTGCTGTAAATGAACTATTATCAACCTTGTGTGAGAAATTAAGAAGTGTTATAACGTAACACTTGAGTTTTAGCATCCAGAAACTTATTCATAACCTGATAAACAAAAGACTGAGTCTGACTAAGTGAATTTCATGAAATCTCCTAGCAAATGATTTATCTAAATAAATCTAATGTCTGTTAAATTGTGTTAGAACCAGTTAACGATTAAAATGTTAACATGAATTGTGAATTTAGAAATAAAACAAATTTACACCACCCGTTAGCGTCGATTGAAAATTCACCTATTTCCCCTTGAAAAAAAAAGGCTTCCTCATTTTTATTAACTACCAAACCAACTAAATTTAACCTAGCTAACTCACCACGTGGTTACACTCACAAGCAACACACCAAAAGTGCCGCTCTCCCCAACCTCTAAAAAACAAGCACCCGTCTCTTTACTAACCCTCTAACTAAAATTCCAAGCAGAACTAACAACTACCCAAAAAGCGTTAACGTGCACATAGTTGCCTATGTTTAACGATTTTTTTGATTGAGTTTTTTTTTAATTCAAATTATTCAAATGTGATTTCGCGCCGTTTTTAATTTTTTTTCAGCGCGAAATTTTAATTAAAATGCGGTCACCACAATACATACTAGTTACCATTTCTTAAAATTAAGTACAGTGGGTAGATGACCAATAACGTGGACGTCTGGTGTATTTTTTTCGTGGTCACACATTAGTGCATATCTCATCACGTCATCAGTGAGACACCCCTTTGCTTCAAATTGGACTGAAATGAATTGGATACACATCTATTATTGAGAATACATAAAATAAATGCTTTCTTTAAATATAAAACTGAAACATTGTGTTGTTGAGTAGTTTCCACTGTACAGTTAGGCCAGCTGTTACCTGGTAGCCACCTAGGTTGATGTTCTTTAGGGGATGCCCAGCATTTCTAACAGATTAGAACTGACTGTGCATCCTGTAGGCCTGTTAAGACAAGAGTGTAGAAAACGGAAAATTTCAATAGAATCATGTTTCAATTATTTCTGTATTTAAACTACATTTAGAAGCTCTATACATAAAATTGACAATAAGGTGACGTTTTCACCAAAAAATGATGGCGGTAGCGTTGAAGCTTTGTGTGTAGCTTGCAATATAGAAAAATGTGAAAATTTTGCCACAGCTAAAGTAAACAAAAAGAGACATTTATATATAGTTTTTTATTTTAAAATTGGATGTATAAGTCATACATGCGTCTTTGAAACATCACATTGAATACATTCTTAACAGTAAAAACAGTCTTATAAAGAAAAATACTTTAACAGATTTCTTTCTTTTTCTACTAAAAAAGGACTAGATCGCTATACGATGTGCTCTGAATGAACATCGATGACGTACATCAAACATCTTGATTGACATCGACGAATATCACAAAAATTTAAATAGGGCTTAAAAGTCGTTCTGCACCGCCATCTTGAGTGTCTCCTCGTTGATCTCCGTTACCGACCGTTTTTTCCCCGAAGTATGTTCGATACAGAGCGTCGTCTCGGCCGTCTGCAAACAAATGAAAATTACTGCATACAGATTACTTCCCGATCACTTACAGGAGGTATAGATCCTGTAAAATTGATAGGTTGGGAATGTCTCTGCGATCTCGAGTTCCTTCTCGACGGATTGTAGCAGATATGGTCTTTTGCTTTGTCACCTTGAAAGTATGTGTGACAATCGACCAGTCGCTTGTTGCCGTACTCACCTTGTTTGAGTTTGGGGATGGAATCTAGGCGACATTTGCTGTTGCGGTGGAGTACTCCGTTTGTGTAGAGGGAGCTACATGACATAGTTGTGCATACTGATGACCTGCCCACAACTGATCTAAAAAAAACTGAATTATTTTATTGAATTGGTCGAAGGAACTAGAACCTTGAGAATCTATTCCGGCAGGGGAAGAAGTACTTTGAGTATTTTCGGTTAGCAAGGTATGTAAGAAGGTAATAGAAGTGGGGTTGGATCTCTGATCTGACTTCGCCGTTAAGAAAGCAGTAGAGTATCGCCACGAAGAAGCCCTAGAAATAGATTCGTGAGTGTGACACAAGTACTGATTAATATGTACCTGAAAGCTTCCGAAGAGTAAATCGCAGAATAACCAAACGACTTCCACTATCCAGTGTGTTCCCTTTACGTGGAACAATATCGAAAACAGGGCGTAATGGACTCCAAACAACGGTACTAGGACTAAAGTTGATTTGAACCATTTTTGGTACCTTTGTGCATCTTCATTGATTGGTGATCTGAGTTTGCTGTATAGTACTACCGAGATTCTCGTGAAGAGGCATAAGTTGAGCTACATATCATTCTTTCAAAAATTTTATTCACCATGGGACCAAGTATATAGTTACCAAATTTGATATTATTGTTGGTATTCTGATGATCAAAATTACATGGCTTTCGTCCGTAGTCCAACAGAAACTGTCCTCGACCAGAAGTCTAGCAGGAATCCAAAACCCAATTACGATCAAAGGGAAACCTGTATTCACCACCAAAATTACAATAGACTAGACAAATAGTGTCGTACTTACCCCAACCCATAACGACATACCACTTGATACTATTACTAGAGTCCGTGAATAGTGCCCTGAAGATAAGATTATGCAAGTACAATCCTTCCATTAATATCCACGAGTAGTTTGCAGTGACAAAATAATGCCAGAAGCTCGTGATGAATTTACAGGTCCAGTTGTTTGTCTAAAAAATAAAAAACTAATAAAATAAGAACAACTAAAGAAAGAAAAAATGAACCTCTGAATTGACAGCAAAATACATAGAGCCATTTTGTTTGTTAAAGTCTGACGGCAGACCTAATCCTTCAAGAAAAATAACTTTAAAAACAATCGAGGTAAGGGCTCTGAGAATAAAGGACGCAAACAGATGCATGTGGAGAATGTTTCTAGCGCAGTGAAGTTTTCTTGAAAACAAAAGAGTTAACACAATATTTTTCCGAGCATGACAACTTACTTGATGAAGAGCATGATGGCGAAAGCGATGATGAGAGAAGCCAAGGATATTATATATCCGGTTTGTGATATGACGTGGACGGCAGGAGCATATTGCTGTATGAGAGAAAAGTAGGAATTCTTTTTTTTAACAGGGTTATACAAAACTTACTTCCATGAATCTGGTGTAAAGGAGGTCTGTTTTGTTTAGGTCGATGTATATAGTTGTAATTTTGTCTTTGTAACAACCTGTGTAATTGGTCCAAGGCATGTTGTCGTGAAAGTACCAGTTGCCATTTTCCATGCATTGACGAGTAGCATTGTTTGTCTGGAAAATTGTTAATTATAGAGTGAGATATGTTGTTTCGTTGAGTTGTGGTACCGGAATGAAGCCAGTGAAGTACGATGGACAGTTCTGGACAGCTAGAGTTCCAGCGGGTGTGGCATTCCAGCAGAGGATTTCGTCCCAGAAAGGTGGACACATGTAAGCTACCATTGCCATGAAACAAAATACCAGTTATTGAAAAATGGACTAGAATTGCAAGAGAACTGTTTATAATGTTTTCGTATGACTTTAGAAGTCTAAGGAGCTATAATAATTATAAATGTATATAGTTTTTGCCATTTCTATTGAAACACCACCTGTTGATTTTGCCTAAAATTTAGCAATTGCTAACAGTTTTCGGTTGATTGACAACGGCTTTTAGTTAGAAAATTGTCTGAATATGAACGTTGCCAAATTTACGATCAACAAGCGGTGTTTCAATAGAAATGGCAAAGGCTATACGTGACACGTTGGTTTATATTTCGTAGCTGCTTAATGTTAGCCGTTTTGGAGATAACAAATATAAGCACATCTGCTTTAAGCTACAGGTTACAATTTAATTATTCACCAGAGCAATTAAAACGGGTTTCCTGGTACTAAAATTAAAAAAAATTGTTGCTTTATCAAATTAGGTTAGGTGTTGTATGTAGAGCTTTCAACTCTGCCATTACGAGAGGAAAAGGAGTTCCTAAACACGTTTATTGGTATGGTAATTTTTTTCTATAATTTTAATTTAAATTATGCTACTTTTAGTTTAAAATTTTAGTAGATAAAGCCTTATTAGTTGAGTTGCTAAAATATGCAAAGCGAACGGCAGATATGTTTGTGACCGGGATCATAACTAATTTCATCCGTTTCTAAGTCAGTTTTAACGTTTTCATAATCCCCAATTAAAACTTTGCTCATTCTCATTTGTTATATCAGTTTAAAGCCGTTTAGTTTTTTACTGAAATTTTCAGCGCGTTCACTTTAAAATTAAAAGGTAACAAATCTAAAATTATTTAGGGATGAATTCATAATTCCATATAGCACAAGTTCATGATTCCGTTTTTAAAACTCGACATTCTGAAACCGTGTTGTTTTTGTTGAAATTTTATATGTATGTGAGGCGTTTGCTATAGACGGTAAAATGTTAACCCAAAGGTCACCTCAAAATTTTGGTTTTTAGATGCCATTTAAATTTTAGAAAGGCGGTGAGAAAAGTAAGATATCGCAAGTATTCAAAGCGTCTGTGAGATTCAGTTTTTTAGACGTTCCCTATTTTCAGTTATAATGTATTCCAAAGTCGTAACATTTTACATAAGTATAATGTTATTTGCATGGTGAAGACGTTCACTTTTTGCGTTAGAGGGCATCAAGTATTGACTGTACTCAGTGAAGGAATGCAGACATTTACGACACAATAAATTTTCTAATTTTTTGTTTTCATTTAATAATGGCTTCATGTAAGCAAAAATTAAATTAATTCAGCGTTCGTTTAATGGAAGAGAAAGTTGTCCAGCTTTTGTTCGAGTTTAATTATAGGTATTCATGTTTTGTTATATTTTGAGGGAAGTCAGCAACTAATGTGTTTAGATTGTATATAATTTAATTACAAAGCACGACGGTGTTACTGTTTATAAATTATAATTAATTTCGTAATTAACTTAACTACAATTGTGGTTGCTTTTGCAATGTTGAGATTTTTTTTATAGATTGTTTCTTAATCGGTTGTTAAGTCTGTTTTTCATGCCAAAATTTTAGGAACTTGGAACTATTTTTGGTTAGATGAGAAAGTGCTTCAGATTAATGTTGAACAACGTAAAATTTTAGTGATGTAAAAACGACTTCACGAAAACATCTCCCACAGAGCTAAGTAAATAGATTTTACTATGCAGTTTGTCGTGTCAAACGTTTTAAAAGCCTCGAAGAAGGATGTTAAATAAATACTAAACTTTGGTTTGAAAGTAATCTCACTTGCATCTTTGTTTACCCCTATAATTGATACTTTCAGATAGCTGTCTAATAATAATAATTTTTGAGATATCTCAGTGGAGGTCAAGATTATATTCGTAAATAATAATCGATATACATTATATTGAAATAAATTTACAGAGCTTACATAATTCGAAAATTTTTGCATTAATTTTGGGCTTTTTTGTACTTTTTACTTTACTTATTTTACTTACTTTACTTATATTTTTATGCATCTCTGCGTCATCTTAGAAATTTATTGCTAAAATTTTTAGTGAAAAATATATCTCGAGCGTGTTGCTGTTGAAAGTATTGTTTGTGTTTGTGTAATGTGTTTTTATTTTTTGAATCGCACAGACAGGATGTTTCAATATGAAGTGTGTTATCTCAGGAATGCGTCATCTATTTTTTTTTCATAATTTTGCAGTTTATCTCACAGATTACACAGCTGATTTATTACAAATTTTGTCTGAATATTATTGATTTAACTGATTTGAGACTTATAGAACAGCAACTAAGACTTTTTATTCATTCCTTTCGAAAAATTGATGACATCATCTTAAAAAGAACTATTTATTGATTACTACCTGTGCTTCATAGAATATGCTTTTATTTCCGAGAATTGCTAAGAATTGGTCGGAGATTATTTGAACAGAACTTCCCTCGTCCCTGAAGAACAGTCCAACAAATTCCGCTTCTTTGAGAATAATAAAATTTACTTAAAAAATACATAATACTTGCAGAAACAGTGTAAGAAAAAAAGAAAGGCCCATGAGAGGGGGATTCATAAACGACAAGCATGTTATCACATGATTACATTTTTGGTGTGGAAGATTGGCTAAAATTTTGATTAGCGATTTACCATCTACACGAAATTCTTAACATGCATGCAAAATTTAACAAAAATCGGTTCGGCAGTTTTGAAGATAATGTGTTTAGTAAAAATCGATATGGACGACAGGCGACAGACAGATGAAAACAGGAGACCTATTTTTCGTGCTCTAGGGGTCATCAAACGTCAAGTGTGGTTTCAAATTGTCATTTTTTATTTTTTTTTATGATGTACAAGCGTCTGGTGGTAGAAAATTACACATTTCCTCCAAATTATTGAAAAAAAAAAGTTCAATCCAATTAGGTAGAACTACACTACTAGTCTACAAGTTAAAATATATACAGTGCATCTTTTTAAAATTGGCCACAGGGATTCCTACACACCGGGGTTGTATTTTTTTTTAATGTAACATCTTAGATATATTTTTAGATTTGAATTTTTTACTTCCCGGCCAGTGGCTACTTTCATGCTTTCTCGACGTTCACGACCGACATCTAGAGTGTGACAAAATAGATCTCCCGTTTCCGTCTCTTTGTCGTCTGTATCGGTATTTATTAGACAGATAATTTCTGAAACTACCAGACCGATTTTATAGGTACATAGGGTGATCATAAATCGAAAAAAAGGTAAACTAATCTCTGAACCAAAATTTAAAATGAACTTCATAATTCTGATATGTTTTAATGTGAATTTAATCGACAGATTAAAATTCCGGTAAACATTTTCGAAAATGTTGAAAGTTAAAAATTACGTTGTGGATCGTATTTTAGCATATTATTATTAAATTATTAATAACTTTTTCGAGTTTTCAGGGTCTTCTTCACAACGTATCGTCGAGCTTATCTGTAATTTTTGATCACCCTGTATGTATTAGAAATATCGTGTAGATGGTAAAAGGTTAATCAAAATTTGTTTGATCATCCCCACCAACAATGTGATGACGTCACCTCAAAATTTTGTACGGTACACGTTATTGAAATTTTATGAGATAAGATGCTTATTTTTGTTATTCATACTATTGTAAAATAAATGTTCAGCAACCGATTGTTGGGTCATCGGTTAGAACGAAGTTGATTTCTTACACTGTTACTGGTATTATCTATATTTTTCAAACTGGATTTGTTTGATTATATTTCAGGTGAGAGAGTAGTTTTGTCCAATAACATGAGACAATTTTTTATGAAAAAAAGAAAAAAAAATGGTCCAAAGAGTTTAGACAGTATTTAATCCCTCGCTGTCAGAACCGTGTCTCTATGTCTACCATAATTTCTTCTCATTAGAGTTCTGTGACGGGACATTTTAATAAAATCGCTTCCACTCTGAAACTCACGGCTTGTCCTTAATTTGATCAATAATAAATTGACTGACCCATTAATTTTTTTGAGTCTCATGCTGTGATAAATTACAAGTATAGTCTGACAGGATGGCAGACAGACGGACAGACAGACGGAAATGAGAGACTTATTTCTTCGTACTTTAGGTCGAGAAAACATAAAAGTAGAGGTTCGATCGACGGACTCGATTACAATACTTCCTTCGCTTACGCTCGGGAAATAAAAAAGAAATTAGAGAGAAAGGTGTTTTGAGAAAGAGGTTTTAATATATTTACAGATGGAAATTTGAAATTTCGAAAACAAAACTTTTTATTTAGTTTCTCTTTACAAAGTTATAAGAAATTGGAGTATTGCAAGTCATTTTATCGTATTTTTCAAAATGTTTGCAGAGATTTATCTTGATTATTTTTTACTTGCCGAGCGTAGGCTATGGAAGTATAGTAATCGAGTCCATCAGCCTAATTGCCATTTTCAGATTTTCTCGACGTGTCATGTTCTCTAGAGTACGAAAAAAGTGGTCTTCCTTTTCCGTCTGTCTGTCTGTCTGGTGTCTGGACCCATTTTTATTAGACAAGTAATCTCCGAAACTACTGAACCGATTGTTGGCACATTTTGTACGTATATTAGTAATATGATGTAGATGGTTAAATGCTAATTAAAATTTGGATAATCCCACTACTAATGGGATGACGTCATCTCCAAAATTTATAATATATTTTTTTTAATTTCATAAAATAAGATATTCATGCACTTGTGGTGTGTGAATCCGTGTCGAATTTTCACCCTTGACGTCCAGAATTTTTGGAAAAAATTCAAAACTGTTATCGTACTCATAGTAAATCGTTAAGCAAAATTTATTCGTTTACTCCTTCCCAAAAAACTGATGACATCATCTCAAAATTTTGCCGAATAAATCCTCTCCAAAATGTGCAAAATATGACTCATAAAAATTAGTGAATGAGTCAGTTTATTTTATTGATTAAATCAGGAACGGCTCACTCCGTTTTCCCGAAAATTTGGGTACTGTTATCACTAGTATTAATTACACTGCACCTATCCAAAGTGATACGTATGGAAAAATGTCGATGACGTCATCACAAAATTTTGTTAAGCCAAAACTCATTTGGAGCCTGCGCTCAGCACACTTCTTTACATTTACTTTAACGTTACATACATATCTTTATTTTAACTTATAAGGGTTCTCATTAAAAATGGATTATTTTATTGTATTTCAGGGGCGAGGGAAGTTCTGTCGAAATAACTTTGGACCAATTTTTTGGAATTATTGTTAGGATAAAGGTCAAATCTTACTTTAAGACAAATTGAAAAATGTCAAGAAATACAGCGTATATAAAATTCCAAGTTCTCGTTTTCAAAAATTATGAACTATATAGGTCTGGCAATTCTACATGAACTTTTGACATTTAGAACATTTAGAATTTTTATTGTCACTGAAACTTCACACATTGAAATATTTTTAGTCTCCAAAATTACGCTCTGTGTCAAGTTGTAGTGGCGTTTAAAATTTTTAGCAGACTTTTTTACAAATTTGATACAATGTTTAAGATATGTATGTATTTTTTAGCTTTTCAGCAGTTAAGCACATGGATGCTTTGGAAATAACCCACAGAACAAAAAAGTTTATATATAGAGATAATCACAAACACAGAAAAACTGTCATAATACAAATTTGAAGCTTAATTTTTCACTGATTACTTAAATTAAACCATATCTTAATTCTGAAGTTTATATTTACAAGGTTGTAAAAATATTTAGTAATAATGTCTAGACATTTTTTATTATCAATTCTACATTTGATTATAATAAAGTTGCATGGAAATTATAACCTTTCCCAATATTCAAAGTATCATGACTGAAAAAAAAAAAATGAACTAGTAGGTCATGAAATTTACTTTTATAATAATGATGTTCACAACACCAAAGTATTCCTTGTCCAGTTTGATATTCTAATTTGAGTTAAATAACTATCAAATAACGTGTTTGCATTACCAACATGATTATTTTAAAAATAAATTTCGTGGCCTACTAGAGAACTTTTTTTCGATCATATGATACCACAGGCTTAATTACTGAGATAATTAATTTTTAGATACAAAATTTAAGAGTTCGTAGGTAAATAAACAACTAGAAGTTTTAAAATTAGGGGAAAAAGGAAACAGAGTATTTTAACTTGTTATGTTTGCGATTTTGGTATGTAAGGGATTGTTGAAATGTTTTCTGATAAAATAGTTGACACGTTCCAGAGTAACACTAAATATTTATTTGACCTTTTTTAGGATATCGCAAAAACTTTCACTTTAACAATACACTATAATTTTTTGAAGTATTGTAGGAGGATCATTCCCGACATTTTTCTTTTAACTTAAGAATTGTAACCCGTTGGAAATAAAAGTTAAATCGTTATTGTAGCATCAGCAGGATAAAGTAGAAATACGCTTCCGTGAGCGGAAACGTATAAGTTATAAATTCACAAACTGCTGAGAAAACCACGTGAAATAGAAAAAAAGGTAGGTGCCTACTTACATTTGACAGTTTTATTGTAGAGGGGTGGAATCACGTTCACAACCTCTTCTCCATGAAGTTCAATACACTTCTCCTTCGCCAATGCCCTGGCCGTTTCCTGTTCATTAATTACCTGCTTAACGAAAATATTCGTCATTTTGAAATGTTCAGGTCAAAAATTCTTCTAGGCCTCTTTAATGGAGAGTCGAGGGTGAGCCTTCTCAAACTTCATGGCTGAAAGTTCCGTTAAGTACCTCTCAGAGATGTGTCACAAACTTTCCAGGTGCTCAACACTCGCCAGCAGTTCAAATTGACACTTTATGGACGATTGGTGCGTGTGATCGATACGGTGCGACTGGAAATAAATCCAAATTATGTAATTTGTGAGATAAGTGCGAGATCACTTGTGTTTATTATTAGATCGTTTCAACTTTTTTCGAAAGGAATCATTGTGGGAATGCTAGAAACTGTTTTATGTGTTTGGGTTTGTTCCGTCTAAACCTAATATAAATTCAAATGTGTTGTACACACTCTGGTTTATTATTCATACACAAATCGTCGGACTCGCGGGATGTGACGTCTTGAAAAAGACACTTCAGCCGTATTTACATTAAAATGTATTTTTCTGAGATTCAATGAATGATGTGGTTTGAATTTTCAAGGTTCTGCGAGATTTATCTCAGGTCGGCGTAATGGACTTTTCGAATAGCTGATCAAAGATCGATGAGTGGAAAAAAATCAGCGAGTTTGATTTTACATTTTTGCGATTAGTTGTGGTGTTTTCGGAAAAACCGCAAAGTTGTTTATATCATCGCGTTATCTGAACTTGTTTTGCTAGTTTGTGTTAGAATTAGAAAAAATATGTGGCGATTTATTGTCGCGCACTTCGTAAAATTCCGACGAAAATATTTTACTGGGAATTTAGAAATATTTTTACAATTTTTATACGATTTTTATTGCGAATATAAGTGGTGCTTGCATCGGTTTTGCAACATTTTATTATTTGTATGACCACTACAATATTTTGCCGAATTTTTCTTGGCAGTGGATAATTTTTCCATATATCTATCGAGATTATTGAAATTAGTTTACAACTTACAAGGTTGTTTTTTTTTGTGGATTGTTTTTTCTAGAATTCGACTTATTCATTAGTGGAAATGCCTTGATTTATTCTATATGCAATTAGTTTTGATTTTACCAATTTGAATACCATGAATATTAATGGTTGTTATTTCATTTAAATTTTGTTAATGTTTTTCTAATAAAATTTTGATACCTACCTAGTTTTCTCACAACTGAAAACTGGAAATGGCAGTGACATATTTTTATGCGTTAAAATCTACAAAATTGTCTTATATACCTTAAATAATTATTTTCTGAAAACTCGTCCCTAACGTTTATTGAGGACAATATGTATATCGGGTGTTCAATTAAAAATGTCATCAAGTTGGCCACCATTTTTTGTAAACATTTATTTATTATTTCTACAATAAACTTAAAATTTGTTTTATGACAGCTGACAGCTCGGAAATGTCAATTATACACAACGTTTTTCGTTAGATTTTTTTTCTCAAAAAAGTAACGCCAACTTGTTATCGGACCTGCGACCGTCGCATTGGTAAGACATCATTTGAAGTCAATAGTTACTCTTTATATTAGCATAAAATTTGAATGGCAAGGGTAAAAAATCAAGGCGAGTTCATAAAACACAGGATACAAAATGTTATTTTATAAAATTTAAATAGCAATTACCACGCCAAATTTTGAGATAGCTTCATCAAATTGTTGGTGGAGATGATTATCCAACTTTTGGTTACTGTTTTACCATCTACACGGTACTTACAACACCCTTCTAAAATTTGACAATTTTGGGAGCACCTTTTACAATACTTCCTTAGCTTATGCTCAGTAAGTAAAAATATATTTTTCAGTAATAAGTTTTATGATGATGATCTATGCGTCTACTAGACGGAATAAATAAATAAATTAACTTTAGTTAGCGTGTTTTAATTTCTCCAGCAATACTAATGGTTGTTCAAAATGTCAAAAGTTATCTTGTTTTGAGGTAAACTAAAAAATTTGATAGTTAGTGGCTAATTTTATGTTTCCAACGTTTCATAAGTTCCTAGAAAATGAACAATTAGGTTTTCTGTTTCCGTTTGTCTGTGGTCTGTCGCTGTAGTCCATCCTTCCTTGTTTGGGGGCAATTTTAGTAGAGAGATAATCTCCGAAACTACTAACCTGATTGTTGTGAAATTTTAAGAACATCATGTAGGTGGTAAAACGGTGACAGAAATTAGTCTCATCACCCCTATCAAAAATTTGATAACGTCACTTCAGAACTTTGCTACGTAAATCACATTTAAAATATATAAGATAAAAATTATGCTTCTATATCTTCGATCCACGCCTATTTTAGCCTTCTGAATTATTTACTTCTGAATGTACGTTTTTGGAAAAAAGTTAAAAAATCTAAACTAAACTTTACAATATAATTTAGAAATTACAACAGCATTGTTCTAAAATTTTTGCACATGCTTTAACATGAATTTAACAGAACACATATTTTGTGTGATATATTGTTTTATTTGTTTAACAAACACTGTAAAAAATTTTTAACGATTCGACCACGAGTTATCGTAAAAAAAAATTTAGAAAGAGCAATTTTTACCGTTTGCCTTAAAATCTATGCACGAATTGCGATTTTTTGAAATTTTACTATGATATAGATACCAATTTAATGATTACAGGACAACAATTAAAATTTATTTATCCCCTCTAGAAAGTTATTGACGTCATCACAAAAATTATTTATGAAACACTAATACATACCTACTTCAAAGGTTTGTTAATAATTTTTAAGAATTCCCAGTCGATGAAAAAATTATTTCTTCCCCTAATAATTATGCTGATTTGTTAATATTTACTTACATCGCTTATTTGTGTCAATTTTTGTGTACTTTCTATTTGTATGACGATGAGATAATAAATATAATTTTTTGCGGTTTTAAATTATTATTATACTGTTACTTCCCGAGTTTAAGCTAAGGAAGTATTGTAAGCCATTCCATTGGACGACTAGCTCCTTTCATGTTTTCTCGACATTTCATGATCCCTACAGGACGAAAAAATAGGTCTCCCGTCCGTGTATATGTCTGCCTTCCTGTCTGTCATCTGTCCCGGATTTTTATTAGACAGATAATCTTCGAAAGTACTGCACCAATTGTTGTCAAATTTTATAAGTATATTAGGAATATCGTGTAGATAGCAAAACGCTAACGAAAATTTGGCGAATTATCCCCACCAACAATAGAAGGACGTCATCTCAAAGATTTCCATTACTAAATGTTATTTAAATTTTATAAAATAAGATACTCCTGCACGTGCCAAGTTTTTATCCTAGACATCCAGATTTTTGAAAAAAAAATCAAAATTAACCTTTTTTTTTGAAAGCGTAAAACTGAAATGTTCTTTAAATTTTTTAGAATTACATACTCCTGCATGTGCGATTTATGAAACCGTGTTGAGTTTTTACCTTAGATATTCAGATTTTTGAAGAAAAAATCAAAATTGTATTACAGCTTTTTTACAGTTTAACTTTGAGGCAGCAAAACCGAATGCTCTACAATCTTGTAAACATTTTGAGGTTATAGCAAGCAAGGTAAATCGTTAATGAAAATTTTTTCGTTTGTGCCCCCATCCTAAAAAAAAATGTCATCTTACAATATTGCCAAATAAATGTTTTTTAACAACATGCTCCTGGATGTGTGATCTATGAATCCGTGTTGAGTTTTCATTTTTGGCATTTAGATTTTTGTGAAACGAAACAAAACTGTATAACAACTTAATAATAATAATAATAATAATACCGTAAGCTGCTGACTCTCCCCATATCGGGACTTTTTGGTTTGACATAAGTTCGCGAATACCGAACACAACAGTATGTAGGTAGGTATAACTTTGTTTATTTGTTATCATGTTCCTCAGTGACACAATTTTTAAGTAAACAACACTCAATATACCAATTTATTTTTTTCCTACAGTCTTTTATAAATAAGCAATAGCCCCGCCCACCCTCACCCATTTCATTCCAGTTACTACTCTTAATATTGTTCAGTCTTATCGTTGTAAGTACTAGCCTCACCCACCCACCCTCTATTTTCTTAAAGATAAGTCACTTGCCAAAATCAGTCTTATTGTAACAAGTACTAGCCCTGCCCACCCTCCCTTTTCTCATTTTAGCGACTAATTTATTTCTGTATAAGATTCACCTTTCATTCAGAGCAGATAAAATTAATTACCGAAATAGGGGCGGGTGGGTGGGCGGGATTAAATATATGTTCCTCTGTAGAGTGGCAGTGGGAATTGAGCGAAACTAGACTGTAAAAACAGCGCTAATCGCGACTTTTTTGCAGGATTATTTGTTATAAAAGTTATTTCTTATTTCAGAAGGAAAATAAATTAGAGAATGGGTGGGTGGGCGGGGCTAAGTTTAACTTTTTCCTAGAGAGTCTTTTATAGACCAACAATAGCCCCGCCCACCCTAAACCAATTAATTTTATAATTTAACTCAAAAGCGATTCATCAATTTTTTTTAAATTGTGGAAACGTGCTACTATTTTTATATATACAGGGTGTTTACCAAACATAGGGCAAAAATTCAAAATTTAAGATTTTTTTGTCCTTGAATTGTAAAGTAAAACTACTATGTACTGCACTGGGCCTACGGAATACATGAACTGTCCAGAAATACGTTTTCGTGACGTGTCATCGTTTCCATAGTGGCCTGGATTTGTATTTATGAAGTCATTTAAAAACATTAGTGTACACTACTCTAGTGGAAGGTAAATAATAAATAACTCTGAGAAGATTGCATCCTAACTGATGGTAGTCATTTTCAGCAGTTTTTAAAAAAGGATTTTTATATGCAATAGGAATTATTAAAGTATTGTTTTTTCTCCAAAAAGCTTTTATTGCCCTGTAACTTCGAAACAAAACGTCTTTTTGAAAATCATCTAAGGAAAAAAAAATCTTAAAATAACCCAAGAAATAACACCCTGAACTTATTTTTACCCCATCTTCAGTAAACACCGTGTATATATATTTATGTATTACAGTAAAAATTAGATTTGCAGAATCAACTCTTACAACTTATCTACGAAACTGGACTTAAGCAAGTAAGGGCCAGGGGAAGTTCTATTTAAATAACTTTAGACCGATTTTTGTAGAGCTTATTTTTGTAAAATAAAAAAAAACAGACAAGGGTGATTTATTGAAATAGCTGAAACAAGAACAGCAATGTTTATTGTTAAACGTTAACTTAAATGCTGTGTAGACAAATATATCATTGCTAAA